AAAGTCAATGAAGAACATCCATGTCTCTTTAGTACCTTAGGATACAAACCTTTTGTTTTGATTGCTCCCCATTTAGTAGTAATAATAAACTTTATTTTTTATAACGCCTTTAAGGGGGTATTCTCAAAGCGCTTTGTTATTGACAACAACAATAATTAAAAAGAATAGACAAGATAAAACACAATTACAATATATAGAGGAAACCGTGGATGGTGGTACTAAGAAAAGCAGAGGGGTGAAGAATGGAACCAGTTAAGTAAAGGCTTTTCTAAAGAAGAGGGTTTTGAGTCTGGATTTGAAGGAGTTTAGAGAAGGTGACTCTCTGATATCCTTGGGGAGAGAGTTCTAGAGCTTGGGGACATAACATGAGTAGGCCCTGTCACCCATACAATGTAGATGGGCTTGGGGGGCAGTAAGGAGAGCAGAATTAGAAGAGCGAAGTTTGCGAGGTGAGGAGTAGGGTGATAATAGTTCAGACAGGTACTGAGGTGCCAAGCCATGCAGAGCCTTATAGGTGAACATGAGGATTTTAAAGTCTACACAGAATTTGACCGGAAGCCAGTGCTAGGACTCTAGGATAGGAGTAATGTGATCATTTGCACTAGACCTGGTCAGGATTCTGGCTGCTGAATTTTGGACATACAGTACCTGTACTGCGGTTTGTTCAAAGTAGATTTAGATACCCTAGTGAGTAGAGCATTACAGTAATCAATTCGAATATAAACCCAAGGTTTTTCCATTTAGATTGAAGTACAGAACCATCTACAGATAGGGTTATAGGACTAGCTTTACGAAGTTGATGGGAGGTGCCAATAAGCATGACTTCAGTCTTGTCGCAGTTAAGATGAAGGAAGTTTTGAGTCATCCAAATTTTTATGTCAGAAATGCAATTAGATAGAATAGACAGCCACAGTGTCAGGTTTGGTATGGATGTATATTTGAGTAGTATGCACACTGAATAAGGCATGAGAAAAATTAGGCACATTTCACATTTTACAGTAATATTCCTTGTACTGTACCTATCATTTTGTTTTTAGATCATGTTTGTAATGACAGTGTATTTCTTAAAAAAAGCATTTCAATGAAACTAACTTTGTTTTTGTCTTGTCAGCTGAAAAGGTTTGGACAAAATCTAACCAAACACTGAGCACTCAATTAACATTTTAAGCACATTCAATTACTGTGTGATTCTTTATCTTGTAAATTTTAAAACAGGTAATTAATCTGTAGGCTTGTCCAATAAATCCTCACTAAAATTCACTCCTACTGTATTTTCTGCTGGTGCAGTCTTGAGAGGTATCTTGTCATTGACTGTACTGAATCCAGTTATGGTGAGTCCTCACATTGTTTCCTCATGCTGGAACTATGAGGTCTCAAATTACTTTCTAAATAGCCAGCAGACATATCACCCTGCAACTCACAACTGACTGCCCACTGAAGCTCAGCAGGTGTGAGCCTGGTCAGTACCTGGATGGGAGACCTCCTGGGAAAAATTAAGGTTGCTGCTGGAAGCAGTGTTAGTGGGGCCAGAAGGGGGTGCTCACCCTGCGGTCCATGTGGGTCCTAATGCCCCAGTATAGTGACGGGGACACTATACTGTAAACAGGTGCCGTCCTTCGGATGGGACGTAAAATTGAGTTCCTGACTCTCTGTGCTCATTAAAAATCCCAGGGCGTTTCTCGTAAAGAGTAGGGGTGTAATCCAGGCGTCCTGGCCAAATTTCCCATTGGCCCTTACCAATCATGGTCTCCTAATAATCCCCGCCTATGAATTGGCTTAATTAATCTGCTCTCCTCCCCACTGATAGCTGATGTGTGGTGAGCGTTCTGTTGCATTATGCCTGCTGTCACATCATCCAGGTGGGGCTGCACATTGGTGGTGGTGGAGGGGAGTCCCCATGTAAAGTGCCTGTAAAGCGCTTTGAGTGGACTGTCCAGAATAGTATAAGTGTAAGATATTATTATTATTCAATAATCTCCCTCCATCTAGATAGATCAAGGACAATAATATTCCAGGAGATTATATGAATGTTCCATTTTTTTAATAATGTCTTTGAAATGATTCAATGAATCCATTCTACCCAAATAAGTCTAAAAGATTTGATTAATGACTGTATTGCATGAGCAATGGAAGTACATGAACCAGCTCCCAAGACAGAAACTGTTGAATCTGACTAGTGTGTGGATCGTTATCCTGTCAGCCACTTTCGGAGGAAGAGAAAAGGTGCACATGACATTCTGAAACTAAAATAAATTAATCTTGGTCAAATGTACTTTTATATTATATCAGATGTTGTTTCATCTTACTGATCATTAAAAACAAACATTTTTAAATTTGCAGACTGAATTTCAGAGTTACCTAGAAGCTGTGTCCCATTGTGGAGTCTTTCAAGTGAGAAGTGGCCAAAGATACTGTAGGAGGTCTTATCTATTAGCGAACATGATCAAATCTGTAAGCCTTTATTTAATTATTGTCATTTTACCAGTTTGAACATGTTTGTTTCTGTCACCATTCAGTTAAGGCCAGATTTTGTTTTCCAGCGCCACGTATCCAATCAATAACAGAGTCACGCTTTGAAAAAGGAAATTTATAAAAACAGATCATAACATATTTTGAGGTGTTTAACAATTTTAAAAGGCAGTTTTCTGTCTGCATCTATACACAGGGTAGTTGGAATGGGAGATCATTGTTAGGGACATACAGAAACGGCATGGTAATATCTTGTAGGCAAAATATTTTAAAATGGGTTTGAAATGATGTTCAATGAACTACGAATTCAAATCTCAGAATCAAAAATCGTATTGTAAATTTGTTTCCCTGAAAGTTTTTTTTAAAATAAATACAAATCTAAGTACAGGTAAGAATAAAACCTTTCTCATTTGAAATCACAGATGATGGATTTAGATGTTCTATTTCAAGATTCTTATAATGATCCATTGTAAAACCATTTAATAATGTTTGCATTACCACTTCAAGTACAGTGTACTGATACAACCATATAACAATTAGTCATCATTTTACAGTTTGTTCCAGCGCCTGATTATTTGCAATTAGCATAGGCCTTCTTCTTTCTTAATCCTGTAGGAAAAGTTAGGTCAATGCTTACAAGAATAGAGATGATTGAAGCACCCATACTTAGAAATGTCTTGGAACACCTACAGATTGCATTTCTTCTTCAGTATTGGAATAGTACGCAGTGCTTTTCTCTTTTTTCCATCTAATGAAAGCTTTCTTTAGAAGTGTGCCAGAGTATCCTTGTGTGATTAAAAAAAAACAGATTCAAACTATAGATTCTGACAAAATAAGTCACTTTCACCCCAACTGTTTCAAATCATAATAATTTCTAATGTCACTTTCCAATGATTTTTGACAGCCACAATAAATTAACTTTTTTTTTAAATTTGCAAAATTATTCACCTGCTTCCAATGATGTTCTATTTCATTGAATTCCCAATGATATGTACACTGTACATTGTCTAGTGAATATTATAATTGATACCCGAATGCTCAGACTTAACACTTCATTGGGGAAATGTCAGCACAACCGAAAAAAATTACAAACTAAACTATTTTCACCTTGAGCAAGGTATTTTAAATAATAATGTAAGACAACATTTCAGTGGAAACAAACAGGTTGCTTATTAATTATCTTATTATATTACAGTATGTACTCACAGAACAGAGTAAGACAAAGTAAATAATAGAAGACTGCATGAGGTATGGAACCATTACCTTCACCCAGATTTTTTTGGAATGTATGTTTTTGTTTTAACTTCTGCTGCTATGCTTAATGTTAGGTTTAGGGTTTATAAATTCACTATTAAATTCGCTATTTTATTTGTGTGTTCCTGTTAAGTGTGTTGATAAGGGTAAGTAGCCTGCAATATGTCTTCAATATGATGCCTTTATTTTACCAGGATTAGACCCCTGCTACATTTTATGTACTAGGGTATATACTATAGTAAGACACTCTGTCCAGTTCTGTGCTCATACCAAAACTTCTTTGCCTCAGTATATGAATCATGCACTGTGTAAATTTCATTGGATCACTGTGAAATCTGAAAGTGGTTCTCCTGCTTCCATATAAAACGGTGTATGGTCTATTTTACCTTAAGGGTAAAAAATAGGGTGTATTGCATGAGTATAGTCCAGCTCTTAATCTGAGATATGGTGATTCCAATCTTCAGATTCTGCCTGAGACCAGGCTCCAGATATCAAATGGTAGAACAATCATGATAGCAGAACTCATTTCCCAAATCCACTAGAGTAGCTAAGCAGCTGTGGACACCTAAAAATAAAGTATTGTTTTTACTCTAGGTCTATTTGCTGAGTTTTCCAAATGTATTTTATGTGTTTAATGAATGTACTATTTTACATTTTTACTACTTTTTACTACATTTAGATTTGAGTCAGTTGAAAAACACTTTTAAATCTAATACATTAGGATGATTCATTCATAATTGACTTTTAGAACTTCTAGGTTATGTTATTTCTTTCCATGTATGCACTATAATGTTATAATAATTTTGAAAACAAAGGTAATTTCCTCACTGCATTCTTTTGTGTATAAGTAAATTAGAGTTTCATGGGGAATTGCAATGCCCAAGAGGATAGTTTTACGTATAGTAAGAGTTGGCTTAACCCTCCTTGTTGAGAATCTTAGCAATAGGGTGAAGAGGCTGCAGAGTGAAGATATAAATACTGTAAATGGTACAGTATAGGTGCAAAGCTGGAAGTGCATGGAGGAGCTTTCAGGAAAAGGTTGTCATTATCCCTCCCAAGCTTCAGTTTAGAAACATAATTTATGAATGTGTAGCATTAGGTTCAGTAGCTAAAGAAGGTGATAAGGATAAGTACGGAGCAAGGATAAGTACACAGTCTTACAGTCAGTCACATTTTAAAGAAATTAACTAAAATCTGTATTAGTAAAACACACAATACCTGTGAGGGTTCAGACAGACATTTGGATAAAATAACCTTTTCCGCTTGTTGAATTTCAGATGTTGATGCCAGACCAGGCGAACCTCAGGAGGTTGGTGACACCATCATGGTCAATGTGACCCCAACTGGAACTCTGGAGAAGGATGATGTTGAATACAACTATCTGGCCCTTGTGTTTGGAATCCTACTCATCCTGATTATCATTCTGGGAAACATCCTGGTTTGCTTGAGTGTGCTAACAGAACGATCTCTGAAAACTGCAACAAACTATTTCATTGTTAGCCTGGCTGTTGCGGACCTCCTTCTGGCTGTTCTGGTCCTTCCACTATATGTGTATTCAGAGGTAAGTTTACCTTTCTTTCTGTCTTTGTTAAAAATTTCAGTTGCATTTTACACAATTTGATATATCAATACCATATCACAAAGCCAGCCTCTACTCAGCACTTTTAACAATCCAAAAGGGCTTCAACAGTCCAATAATTGACTTATAAACCAATGGAAGGAATTACAGTGATAAATTATATTTAAAGGCTTAGTACAACCAGAAGTAGTGTTGGCCTTTCAGCAAAAGAGCTATCCATAGTCACGTATTGCAAAGAACATAACTCTCCTCATATTTGAGCTGAACCTTTCATACATGACTGTAGAGTCTAACATGTGAAAAGTTATTAAGTTGAGACTTAAAGATCACACATTAATTTGGTGTTTAATAATTGGCAATTCTAAACTTCTTTAAAAATGAACTGAATAGCTCTGTGATGCACATTATAAATGTTTGTACAGATCGAATCACTGTTTCATATTTTATTATACTGTGGGTGAAGTTTGTTTTATGGCAGAGTCTAATACAACAAAACAACAAGGAAGACAAAGATCACCAACAGATAAGAACATACATAGTGTAACAGGAGATAAGACAGTTTCTTTACATTGTTTGAGAGTGATATTGCATTGGGATGAAATATTTCCTTGGTCTGTTTCCTTGGTCTGAACAATTTCCCCAATTGTTCTGCTAGTTTTTTTCAGTAATTATTACCAGCCTACTGGTACATGAGACTTTCAATAAATGATTTGTAGAAAAGTGTTCAAAAAGTTCTACCTTAAAATAGGGAGTCTCTTATTGTTTTTTTCACATCCTAGCGATTACTTTATTAACCATTTTTACGGTGTGATTTACCTAACATTTAAAAAATATCGGACTGCAGGGAGTTTGCATTTTCTCCTATCTGTCCTCCAGGTATTGCAGTTTCTTCTCACAGACCTAAGACATGCTGATAGGTTAATTGGCTTTTGTCAAATTGTTTCTGGTGTGAGTGTGTGTATGTTTGTGTCTGTGTTTGCTCTGCGATGTGCCTGTTTCTTGCCAGGATAGGATCCAGCTCCCCCATAACCCTGTAATAGATAAGGCGGTTAGAAAATGGATGGATGAAATAGGTTTATCATTCCCTATGTCCCTTGACATTAAAAAACAAAAGAATAAGTATCGTTTTAACTATGTCTCATAGCCAGTGCTATGAAAATTGATCAATGGTTCTCAAGACCTACAGTAGTGACGCATATGTGCACATTCAGAAACAGGTTACCTAGTAACACTGTGACAAATCCTGTCAGCAGAAAGATAGTTGGTTCTGCCGGAAGGTGATTAGGTAATGTGTCATTTTTCAGTGTAAAACTAACTATATACTTCACAGAAACACCTGTGATACATATTAATAAAGGCAGTCTTGCTTTATAAACTATTTTATGCTCTTTTCATGACATTACATATTATTTGAATAGGTAAAGTTACTAGTTAAATGGTAACCCCTGTGTTTTCTAGGGCAAACATATTTATTATTAGGTTATTATTTTTAGCAATACATAATGGAAATATACAGTAGTCCCAAGTCTGAGCAACAAATTGTAACTCAATTTTGCATGATCCACTGCTAAATCCTCCTTGGTGCTCTCACACTAGATAATGAAAACATGAAGTGACAAATAAGAAATAAACAGTTAGCCTTTTGATCCAGACATTTCTTAAAGGATCCCAATTAGTATGCTTCAGGAACATGTCCAGCCTGCTTGAACCAGACACCCTCAGACCTAAATGTCCTAAACGCACAACTTCTTTCTAATTTCTAATGGTGTTCTCATGTCATTTGGTTGTCCAACAGTTTTCAGGAGTTTTTTGTGACCTAATAAAATTTGAAATGATTATTTGATTGAAATATTTGATTGAAAAAGACCCTTTTGAAGACAGAGATTCAATTATTTTAGCCTGTCATCGAAATAAATTATAAAAGGCAGAAGTTAACCTTCTTTTCCTTTATTGAATTGACTCTAGTGCAGCACTGTCCTCTCTGTAACATGAATGTATACAGTATTCCAGATATATTTTTACCAAATAATTTTATAAATTCCTTAATTTAAATTCTACACTTCTCACAATATGTAAAAACTAATTGGTCTTGTATGTAATAGTTTATCCAAAATAATAAGGATTGTTTTAAAATTCTTCAATATCATTAGTGGCAATGATCCTGACACAAAATGTAGAGCACATTCTGGCTACCTGAGAAGAAGTACTCAAGTTAGCATTAAATTAGATTTGTCAGATGTCTAAACAGTCCATGACAGTAACAGTTCATAGTAAAGGTTGAAGACTCATCAGGTTTCTTAAGATACAGTTCTATCCCGGATAGGCAGCTAGTCCACTTGCTTCTACTAATCCTGACACTCATTTATATCTTGGTGAACTGGAGCTACTGGGGTGATTTACCTGACTCAAGGGTACAACAACAGCACAGCCACTTAATTACAAATCCAGATACCCTTGCTGTTTCACAAATGTTTTCTCCTTTCTCTTTTGTTTTCTACAGGTTGAACATGCTTTCAACCAGAGCTTCAAGCCTGAATGTCATCTTAAAATGTGCACTAAATGCACATCTACTATTTTAACAAATTATTTAAATTAGAAATTTTACCTTTTGTGTGGGATTAAAGTCTTTCTGAAAATCTAAACTTTCAATTTCATAGATTTTTGCTATAGTTGCTTCTTTAAAGATACTTATTACATAAGACTTACCCTTTCTAAATGCGTGTTATGTGTGATAATATTATTACCGTATACAAGTATTGTAGGTCTCCTTACTCAGTTTTTTAAATAAAATTACATTAAAGTTTCACAGGACTGATTAATCCATATAGACTCCTTAGACAATGTCATCATGATTGGTTAATTCTGAGAGATTCGGATTCTTTTAGATATCTGCTTCTGTTATATTAAGATTTTTTAAAACCCTGTTGTTAATTTTAAAACTTTGTATAACAAACTCCTTAAATGTATTGTCTGTTCTCTTTTCATCTTTTCAGATAATGCTATATTTTATACACTTTTTTCTGATGTTTCTATTGCTTTACAATTGAACTACATGAAAAATGTTCTCCAATCCTTTAAGATCCCCATATAATAATATTTGCTCTCCATAAGCTTTTCTGTTTTTATGATTGCATCTACATTACTCTTAAAATTTCTGTCTTTGTCCTTCTTAAATGCTGCAGTTTCATTTTAAGTTTCCAGATTTATAATAATAGATTTTAGTTTAATTTTAGTCACTGTATTACAAAAAGATGTTGCTGCTCTGGAATAAGTACTTGGAAGGGCAGCTAAATTCATTCCTAGACTTGGAGGAATTTCCCTTACAGACAGCAAAGATTTACAGTAAATCTTATTTTCTCTTGAAGTTTAAACTGGGAAGACTGAGGAGACCAGCTTCAGGTATTCAAAACCCTCAAACACAGTAACAAAGTCAATCCTTCTGTTCAAAGTCAATTCAAACCAGAGAACAGAAGTAAAAAATAAGAGGAAACATATCTGAAACTGAGAGGAATATGCAGTTCTTTTTACACAAAGTGCTGTGGGATTCTGAAGCTCCACCTTTATTCAGGAAACAGCTGTGACTCTGAGGATCATTTATCTACTACCAGTCTAGCAAGCTAATTAAGTTGAACGGTCTCCTCTGGTTTGTAATCCTTCTTATGTTGTGGATTCACCAGTTAAACAATTTGTCCATATCAGCTCTCATTTGTTTTGGGTTAATCTCGGGCAAAACAAGATTTTCAGGCCTGTTATTAAACCATAAATGATGAGAGAGAGCATTTCACAAAATTTTACCTGATCCTGTGAGAGCAGAACATGTTTTCAGATTTGCCTTTTTTTTTAAAAAAAGTATTAAATGTTTAGAAAATGTTATTGCTTATTAATTAATGTTCATTAATGTTATTAGAAATTTACAACCTCATCACACTTGTTCGAGCTTTCTTGGCTTGAAACAGAAAGAGGGCACAACCCACATCACTACAATACAGTAGCTGGGTGGACCAGTGTCTGCAGAGGACATGGACCCACAACCCTCCTATTACACTTTAATCATTACTCCATTACTCCAAGCTGTCGATATTCATTAAAATTAAATTCCATTTTAATCACACCTCAGGATAGGCACTGAGTTGTAGTGACCTTTCCCAGAACAAATGGCTTTCTGATAATATTTTATACATGTGTTATACATTTTAATTTCAGAATCATGTAGTTGTAGTTTAGCATTTCTTAAGCAGCAATATTAATGTACCAGAACTTTCCTTTTTAATTTCCAGATTAATTTTTAATCAGTTTAGATTCTACTTTAAAAAAAACAGGTGCTACCCCAAACCGTTCTGTGACTACAAGGGCATGTGGCTGCTCTAGGTGCTTCTTTGAAATGTCACACTAATGCATTTGTTAATCATGCTCTGCTGTCATTCATGCTCTTCGGTGGAATGACTTTAACCATCATTTGTGTGTAGTTCCTGGGTGGTATATGGACTCTAAACACCTATATCTGTGATGCATTGATGACCATGGACGTGATGCTCTGCACTGCCTCTATTCTTAACCTGTGTGCTATCAGTGTTGATAGGTAAGTGCTTCCTTTCATGTTGGGGATTTTTTTCTTTTTTTTGGTTTGTACCCATGTTTCTTAAAGTTTTATTTGTCTTGCATATTAGGGTCACCACAGATGCTTTACAAAAAATGTGCATAAACATCCTTCATTAAAAAAAAGTTTAAAATCATGCATCGTTCACACCAAATGTACTGTATGAACAGCAGCACTCTACACAGTACAACTAAGTTGAAGAAAATATGAAATTCTATGAATATTTATTATTAATATCCTTATAGTGCAGTATTTATCATAGTACGTAGCATAGATTCCTTGCAACACTTGGGCCTTGGGTTTAAAACAGGAGTGTTATCTGTGTGGACTTTGTTTGTTCTCCCTGTGTTTGTGTGGGTCTCTGCCAGGTGCTTCAGGTTCCTCCCATAGTCCAAACACATACTGGTAGGTTAATTCACTTCAGGGAAAATTGGCCCAGGTGTGAGTGTGTGCATATGAATGTCTGTGTGATAGCTGTGATGGATGCTGTCTTGCACCCTTGCTTGTTGGGATGCGCTCTGGCTCCCCCATGACCCCAGAATGGGTGGATATGCTAAGAAGGATTAGGAGTGAATTTCCAATTCTAATATTACAAGATGGGTTAAATACCATGCATTTCCCAGCTACTTTGAATTTAGTCATTTTGTGTTTTTCATAAGAATCATAAGTGCATTTAAAACTGAGAATAGCAGGCAGTTCTTTATCAAAAGGAATGTAGCAGTATGGACAAAAGCTACTTGGACATATTGTTGAAGCACAATATCCAAACTGCCTTTGAGAAACAATTAGATGAAATCCTTGAAAAAATTAGCTACTGAATGCACAATAGACTAGATGGGCCAAATGGCCTCCCTGAAGTCAGCTTAGTACTGTAGGACTGGAAGGAAGAGGTGTAGAAACCATGGCAAGTCGATAAGTGCCAATTTGTGATGGAAGACATAGCAGACTGAGGTGAACGTAAATGGTAGTAGAAATGAGGAGGATCAAAGGGACTATGACTATGATGAGACTGGTTTTATGTAATGACTGAGTGGAAAATTGTGAGTGTGATGCTCTGGGAAAGAGATAACTAGCATAAGCAGAGAGAGAGAGAGATGGAATATGACTTTCATAGAAGTGTAAAACACACATCAGGGGTCCTGAATTTCTGAAAATGATGAACCTGCAAATTGGTTTGAGTAACAGGGAATATGTATCTAATAATTGGTCATAAATAAAACACAGCTGACACTTCTGGGAAGGTTCACAATAAGCATAGATTTTAAGAGTCTTTACTATGTGTATGTACAGTATGACTGAGTGGATGAGTTCAGATTTTACCTTGAAATGGATGATGAAAGGAAACTTTTTGCAGACTACCTATGGGTAGTGCAATGCTATGGAAAAGCTGGCGGTCTATGAGGAAAAGAAGAAGCATAATAGGAAAGTGACGCAGTTTTGTTTCGTGGCCTTAAAGCTGCTGTCAGTGGGCATCTGAGCTAACATAATGATGCTTGTGGACGACCCCAAAAATAAACAATTTATTTACTGGCGTATTTTATTCAGCATACGTTTTAGTATACGTATTCAGTTTTTAATCTCATTTTTAATTTTCTCTTCATTATATTGCATACTTTTTGCATTTCTTTTTGTAAAATATCCTGATATGGTGTTTATTTTGTAGAAAATGTTGGATGAAACATCATTTTGAGGAGCTGCAGAGTGAATTTCAGTTCTGCCAGAATGATTCATTTCACCTCTGTAAGAGAGTGGTGAGAGATAATAGGACTGTATCACTTATTATTCTGCAATGCACCAGATTACTTGTGTTTAATTAACTGAGTGGTAAAAGAGCTATGAAGTCTCTAAGACATATAAAAACAAGATTTAAAGTCTTTGAAGTTTTCAAGTGAAATAGATGTTTACTCAATGCATCTAAGTTCAATTAAATGCCCACTCACAACCAATTAAATGTAATCTGTTTTTAGTGTACAAAGTATTTACTGAACTGCAAACTAGCTACTACTACTTTCATATGCTAAAATATAAAGAAACGGCAATGATTTTGTGGATATCCAATATTCTGCCCTTCTACTGAAGAGACTGAAATTATCATTCAGTGAAATGCAGTTTTGAACGGTGATTACATTCATCCCAATAATGATTAATAAAACAACACATAAGCTGACTGTACTGCGATTTTATATTTGAAAGTACAGTAGTTGAAAGCAATGAGCAACTTTGAAGAGTTCTGATACTGTACATTGCGATCCATTGGTTGATTGCTTTTTTCAGCAATCACTCGCAATGTTATACATTATTTTTTGTGCATATTATCTAAAAAAGAGATGTATTGCTTTACAAAATACAGTAAATTTTCCTTTGAGATATATTTTAGAATTATCATGCTGGAAAGCAAAATTCTTGATACCCTTGGCTAGGATTCAGAAGCCTCATTTTGCAGTTCAGACAGAAACACTGATATCCTCTATATGAGACTGCAAGAAGGTTTTGTACATTGGAGAGTATTGCTGCCTCACAGTGCTGGGACCCTGGGTTCTAATCTGGACCTAGGGATTATATCTGTGTGTTCCTGTGGGTTTCTTACAGGTGCTCCAGTTTCCTCCCACAGTCCAAAGCCATACTGGTTAATTGGCTTTTGGGAAAATTGGCTCTGGTTTGAGTGTGTGTCTGTGTGTGTGTCCTGAGACTGACTGATGACCCATCCAGGGTGTATCCCGCAAAGCGCCCATTGCTTGCTGGGATAGCCTCTGGCTCCCCAATGACCCTGTATTGGATAAAGCAGTTAAAAATGGGTGGATGAATAAACTGAAATTCACAAGGAATAACAATACCCAAGAATTTAGTGTATCGAAAGGATTATGAACGTTCAGTCAAAATTTGGTTTAACCTGCTTGGCTGAGGGCTAACCTCCTAGCCACTGGACCAGGAGGCTTGGTCCCCCATTCAGAGGAGTAAGTAAGGGGCAGCTGCAAAAGTATAGATGGGGTGGATGTAAGGGAGAGAATGGGGATCCCATACAGTATTAATAGTGTTCTAGGAGAGGAAATGACGTTAGGAGTGATCGCTAATGAAGTTTAAGTATGTACAGTAGCTGCATCAGTATGCATATGCTGCAAAGGAACAGGTAAAGTTTATTCCATGCTGAAAGGAACAGAGACACAATATTTCAGCTGTGGAGTCTTCTTCAGGCGATTAGTAATTACTGACAGCTGAGTCCGATTCAACTTGGTTTTTGTCATTAACATTCACTTTTGTTAAACTCCATTAAGACATGCTGATTAGAAAAAATGACATGCAAGACAAAGGTTTTTTTAGACATAAAAATGGAAACCACACCCTTCTACACCTTTCAGGAATTAGATAAGTGATTTACATATTTGTATATCCAACACATAAGAGAAAGCTTTGAAACTGAATGTGATGACAGAGTAGTATCCCAACAGTTCTTTATTTCATTATTCAATCTGTGTAAAATATGTAATTATGTAATTAAGGTCTGAATTTGTCATTCTCCATCACTTTGTCTATTGACTAAGCTTAATTTTTGTTCATGCTTTCCTCAGATTAATCTATAGTACAATGGTAGCATAGAACAGTATACAGTACAGTACTTTCTATGTGAGAAAACCTACTGTGTAGATATTTTACACAGTCTTATTCAAGAGCCAGCTGCGTTAAACCACAGAATTGTATTATGGCATGTTCTTCAAAATGGTACAAATAAATGCGATGAGCACACATAGTAAAGCACTGTCCTTTTCAATGCAGGTACATTGCTGTGATAGTTCCCCTGAAGTACAACAGGAACCAGTTCAGTATGCGCCAGCTGATCCTAATCACAGCCACCTGGGTCCTGTCCTTCGGGGTTGCCAGTCCCGTAATATTTGGCCTGAATCGGGTCCCCAACCGAGATAAGCATGTTTGCAAGCTGGAGGATGACAACTTCATCGTATACTCCTCAGTGTGCTCTTTCTTTGTGCCTTGCCCCGTTATGCTACTGTTGTACTATTGGATGTTCCGCGGGCTGAGGAAATGGAGCGCCAGCCGCAAGTCGAACTTGATGAGGGGCGAGAGGCGCTTCTCACTCAGCCTGAAGGGGCTCCGTCGGGAGAGGAGGGAGAAGGTGAAGTACTTGATGCCCAGCCTCAGCCCCACTGCTGCTAACCCGGCAAACATGCCGGAGAATGACCTGATAACCACTCAGCTAGACAGCACGTCTGATGTGGAGGCACAGGAAAGGCTGAAAGAAGGGAGTCCAAAGGAGAACGGTCTGAAAAACCATGGCTTGGGCAAGGGGTCCCAGAGCAAGAGCCACAGGGTGAGTGGCAGGGAACGCAAAGCAATGAAAGTCCTACCCATCGTTGTAGGTATGTATTGGTTTAAGGTGATGGCTAAGGCAAGGGATTTAAGATTTAAAAAATGCTTTTCTAATTTATGGGACAATCCAGTAAATCTTATCTCTACCATGTACTGTATATTTAGCATTTGGTGGTCTATATGGTCATATTGAGCTATAATTCGAATAATCTCTATTATATTTATCTCACTATGTCCACAGTAGGAACAAGAAGTGCTGCCAAGTTCAGATGAGTTTTAATCTAATCAGCATTGGACTGTATCGGAGCTAACTAGCCATAAAGCCATTTCATTTACCTACTACATTAAGTCAAGTATCAAATTGGTGTTAATGAATTTGGCCATCTGTTTAAGTCTGTCATCTTTTTTTTAATTTTAAGATTTCTATTATTCAGTGTGTCCTTTTGAAACATCTGTTTCACAGCAGGTTGCAAATATGAGTGCAACTATTGTGTAATAACACACTCCCAGATGAAATTACATGGGCATACAGTATCTACAGTACATAAAATAACACATTTGGAAAAATGTATACATTTGATTTTTTTCTTACTTTTAAGAGTATTGTGGTGATCACTGTTTTTGAGTCAGGCAGTGGAAGTAAGAAGTCAAAGAAGCTGTTATCCTGGCTCATGGGGAAGGTTTATTGCCCTAATCATTACAGTGGGGTGTGCTGGTCATGGGGGAAGAGAAGGCAGGGTGAGAGAAGAGGGAGAGAAACAAAGGAGCTGTGCTTCAAGGAATCCCAGGTGATAAGAGGGAGATCAGGAATTTCTCACTCCTTGTATAAAGAGTGCAGGAAAGGAAGAGCCAGAGGAGAGAGTGGAAAGGACACAGGAACAGATCATTTTAGGAGTAAGCATATTGCTACAGTATAATGAAGATTAGATTTGGGATTTTATCACAAAGTAACCTTTTTTAAGCACTCATTTGTATTCATTGGAGCAAATATACACTAACATTTATTTTAACCTTAACCATAACTTTAGAAAAAGTTGCATCATCACGAATCACGAACAGGTGGTAAATTCGTTTTAATTATAAAAACACCAGAGTCACAGATAGTTTTAAATGCTGCCTAAATATATAATTCATTTCTCACACTACTTGAAGTATAATAAACAATCAAACATGACATACAGTACAGTACAATAGACACTGTAGCAATATAAGATATTATGTCTTGCAACTGCACTACTATTTGTATTGTTTTTAATTTTCTTAAGAATTAAGTAGCTTTATCAATCTTTTTAAAACAACAGTGCTCCCAGCATGGTATCAGAACTTTGTGGACTCAAATTCTAGTGGACGTAATCCTACAGTACATGTAGATCCTATATAAGATGCAGTGATTGTATTTCTAAAGTGCTACTTACTGCCTCCACCTTCTTTGATGTGGTAAAAGCACTTCTGTTGAAATTTTGTTTTGAAAATCAACGTGGCTGTTTATCTTTGATGATTTATTTTAAATAAGTTACTTGAATTCTTGTTTTCCTGCTACAGTGAGAGTGAATAGCATGGATCAAAATTCAAACTGTGTTTTTTCCACTTTGGCATAAGGAGGTGAAATGCAACTGTTCTAGATACTGTACAGTTTGTCTTTTAAATGTCTGAGTTACTTGTTTCAAAAAGTCATTAGCTCCAAATGTAAAGTTTTAACTTAAATTTGTTTGAAGGTTTATATTCAAACACAATATTTTATATGTTTAAATACATCTTTGTTTAACATGTTTAAGTATTAAAACATTGAATTAACTGCTCTTTTAGGTACCTGCATTTTTTTGCATATTTATACCACTAGATCTATCTGCTTTAATTAAAATCCACTGATTAGAGATGGGTTTCTTAAATACTGTTATTTTATGTCTCTTGATTGAATATACTGTACCACTAACTGTTGAAGGCGTTACATTATCATTATGTGGTATATTAGTATTAGAAATATTTTTAACAAGATGTTTCTGCCAATATAACAAATTGGACCATCAAAGTTTTCTTCATCTGTTATGCAGGTATATAGGGTTTATGGTTTCCAAGGTGAATAGACCTTACTTCATCTTAGAACAGTCTGGTTGCCCCTCATTATCATTAAGCTGTCTTTGATCCTTAGTGGTTGAATTTTAAAGAGTTGCATTCAATTAAGCTCTTTTTGCTGTATAGTTTGGGGTGCCTGCATGTCTGTAGAATTTTAATGGTTTCATTTTTCATTGCTCACTGCCATGAGGAGTTATAAAATCATATAATATCCGAAGTCAGACATAGTGTACATTAATGAAAAGGTTACATACATTAGGTGGGCAAATCAATAGGGTAGCATATGCAAAAAGTCTATAATATTCCAGGATCAAATACTGTAACCTTTTGAGGTTGACTGAATCCTAAAGCTTAAGATTATAAAAGTAAATATAAACATTCAAATAACTAACACATTTGTCCTTTTTGACAGGTGTATTTCTGGCTTGCTGGACACCATTCTTCGTAGTCCATGTTACCAAGGTTCTTTGTGTATCATGTGACATTGGACCAACACTGATCAGTGTAGTTACATGGCTGGGATATGTGAACAGTGCAGTAAATCCCATTATCTACACAGCTTTTAACACAGAATTTAGGAATGTCTTTCAAAAACTATTATGCTGTCAAACATGAAGTCTCCATATTATGTACAGAGAAAAAATATACAAAATGTATGACTCTTTATTTTGTTAGTGTGTTAAGTTAAAGAGTGACATTATTTTTTGAAAAAATAATCCTGGAAAACATATTCCAGTACCTTCATTGCCTTAGTTGATATAATTGTGAATTCAAGAAGGACATTTCTATGCTGCCTCTTTTACGATGATGTTCTACAGTAAATGTATTAAGCTCATTTGTGTAAAATATTGCTTGCAAACTGTAGTTTATAAATCCTAGCCCAGAGACATAAAAATTGTGAAAATGTGCACATTATTTAATGAAACTGCAGTGTGATTTTATTCTATTCTATTTGTGTGTTTTTTTGTAATATTATGTCAGAAACAGCTTCTCAATTTCACTTCTCACATCTGTACAGTATATTAAAAAAGCCGTTAGCCTTCTCAACGCAGCTTCTTCCTTTGGACAATTTCTTGACCATTAACTGACAGCTGGAGCAATCCACCTTCAAAATGAGATGAAATTATTGAAGATACTGAGTTAAATTATTTTCTTGCACTTCAGAAACAAGTGGATAATGGAGGACAGCTCTGTGGCTGAACTTTAAAGACTGGACACATACAAACTCAAGATGTTTGCCCTGTCTGAAGATAGGAGACTAACAAGGACATGTTTCACTTGTAGTTGAGAATTTTGTTTGGAGTTAATAAAACAATAAACATAACCACCCTTGTAGCGGATCATAGGTTTGGAAAAAGATTTTTCAATATACAGTAAAGGGTAACTGATACATACCTGTGGTAAGCTGCTGTACATTTGTGTAATGAAACCACCAGTGTTGAACCAGTAATCTTTTTCAAGACAATGTACTTTTATAGTGTATTCTGGAAATGTGAAAGATTAATCTATTGTCCATATCGGTGAAAAATCATAGCAGTTTTGTTTTTCGGGATCTTACAGGAATTAAATTATCTGAGGCACCAAGATTTCCACGATGGAGGCCCTTTTAAAGGTATAATATGGTATACACAATGATTCATGAGGAAAAAAAAACATTTTTATGACAGTAATAATAGCATCCAATTTTAATTATTCGTGGAATCTCATAGTGCAGTCTAAGATTATTAAAGGGAATATGTGATACTATTTTAAGTTGTTTTCTCTATAATAGTGAAATTCAAGAAAGTGAAAGAAATGACTATACAGTAGCTATTTAGCCTGTTTAGATGAGATCTTAGATTATAATTTGCAGAAACGTTATTTAAATATGATATGACTGAATATTTAAAAATTGTGGTTACATTTAAAAACTGTCATCTTAAAACTACATTATGTGAAGCAAAATCTGAGATTACTTTGGAAAATGCAAATTTCTTGTAGTAAATTGTTGTCAGACAGTCTAATGATTGTTCAATTAAAGATGTTATGTGCCTGATATACAGTAGGAAGGGCAGAGGCTTTGTAAGCATTTAATTGCATGTCTTCTTCCGAGGTCCCATGCATTCAATTCATACTGTATGTTGATTGTGCAGTTTTAGATATATCATCTTTATTTTTCCCCAAATGCTCTCAGGAACAGATTGTTATAGAGATCTGTGTAAAAAACAACATTCCACAGTTCTGAACAACAAACATTCTTCTGTTAACTGCTATTCACCACTATTCACAACTTTTAGGCAACAAGTGGCATTCCACTTTCTGTTGGAAACAAAATTTTCAAAACCCAATGTCCCAGAGAACACCGTGCTGTGGGAGTTGCTGCTGTTTGGATAAGACAAGAAACAAAATTCCTGAGTATTTGGTTATTAAAGGTCCCATAGCGCTGTTTGTAAGAGATGTGTTAACTTTGACATCCTGATAATTCCACTCTGCACAATCTCACCTTTCATGTACTGCCCCTACATTAAATTCGGGAAGCAATTTCTCCAATCTGTAGCTTACAGTATACTCTATGTGATGTAGTGGGTAGTGCATAATAGTTGTCATGGGTCATGCACGTACGTGCAACTCTTCAGTAGTGGACTAAGACGATCCCCTCCTGTTTGTAAGGAGCTTTGAGATTCTTTGAGATCACCTCAAAAATATTATTATTTACAGTAAAATGCAATAGACGTATCATATGTGGAGTATACAGTAGACAAGCACAGAACTATTTTGATCACAATCATGTGGGATTGAAGGTTCCAAACAGTAGGTCATAGTCTGTGGAACATTGAAAAAGCTGAAATGATCGATTTTAGGTAAAACCTTAAAAGGATGGTTCCAGCTGCTTAGTCCTCAAAACAGACCATTTTTAACTTGCTTTTATTAACTTCAGGGGTGTTATCAATTTTACATTTACTATATAAGTATTTTCATTTCTCTTATAGCTGTAAGCTGAAAATTCTGCAGTCCAATGACACAAGCCTACATCTGGATGTGGTACCATATTTGCAACATCCTTTTAAAAAACATCATCATGACTAATTAATAATTATTAAGATTTTATGTATTTTTTTATTAACTCTTATACCAATATTGGGACATTTCTCGGGGCTTAGCATGCACTGCCTCTTGTGTTTGTCTATCAGGACGTCCACACTAAGAAAAATCAGTATTGAAACCCATAATCATTGCAGGTTTCAATGTCGACATTGAGCAGAAAAATAACCTTTACGGAGGTGAGTAAGAAGTACATTCTACATTAAAATTTTAAAATAGTAGACCCTGGAGGAAATGTGAAAACAAGCACAATCGATGTGCTCAAATAACCTGGATGTATTTTTCTTTGGACACATGCATTGATTTTATTTTAAGCATTTTATATTTGTTAAAAAGAAAACAACAAAATTATTAATGTTTGTGTTGTTAACAGTGCATCAATAAACCATGTTATTAAATGTTTAAGCTTTTGTATTTAGAAAGTGTACAATTATATACTGTAAATGAATGCATTGCACCAAAACACTGCAAATTAAAATGTTTTAATTTCTGATGTTTTACATATATATATATACACACATCCTCATACTGTTCATGTAAGGCTTTTTATCAGGTACATTTCAATTTTAGCACTTTCTTTTGATACTGATAATAACCTTTCTCAATTAAAACCCTGAATGATTTTCTGGAATAGCTGATCATATGAATTGTGTATATTTATTTATTAAAATGTTCTCCAAAAGTGAGTTTTAAAAGCCCCACAATGAATCTGTTAGTAACCTAAAACTGATGGAGACAACACTGTAGGTGGCTGTAGCCATATAAAGCTTAAAAGTATGTCCTCCAAATATTTACTGCTACAAATCAAAGTTAGTGTTTTATATGTTTATTGTTCAGCCACAGACAAAAGAGGGGTAACTTTCCTTTTCACTCAGAACTCCTCAAAGATATTGACTTGTACATCCAGTATAGCTAGGGTAAAACACAAGAATCACACAGAATAAAGAAGAAATCTTTAGATCAGTAATCAGTAAGTGATAAAAAATGCTTTGAGACAACTGAATGGAGTGAAAAATAATTTTCCTTAAATGATATCCAAAAATATCTTTCTTTGATATTTTCTATGGACCTGGCTAAGCTGTATTCAGCTTTTTTCCTCAAGATGAAGGTAAAACATCACTTCATTCAATATAATTACACAGAACAGTTCTGCAAAGGGCTCATATCCACATTCAGCACTGGAAAAATATGTGTTGTTTTTTACCCTTTTAAAATCCCTAGGGCAAAGTAACAAAAGATTTTCAAATTGCTAGAACATAACTATTGTAGTTTACTACACCAAAGGAAAAGACTGTAAATTGAAAATATAAATGATTGTGTAGAAAACAGTTTATTTTTCTAGTACAAAAAGTACAAAAAATGTAAAATATACTGTATAAAAATAAATACACACAAATTGAAATTACCACAGATGATAATGTTTACAAAAATGAATCACAGTTCATGTACAGTACAGTTAAAATGGTTCAAAAGATCATGAAAAAGGTAATACAAATATACTTAAAGATACTAGGTAATTTCTACAAAAACTAAGCTATGTGGTCACACTTGCTTCTCTCTTTTATTATAAGAATAAAATATTGAAAATTGATGTTGGCTTAGACATTGCATTGACAAAAATAAATAATTAGGAATCTTAATCAATGAATGAATTGCATTGTGATTTGTAAAAAATCTTCTTGAACTGCAAAATCTCATTAATTTTGTACAATAAATCTGTACATTCTTAAGAAATCCATTGAACTGATGATGTTTTACAGTGTTGTTAAGTACAGCATTAAAATTGCACAGTGTAAATACTGTATTTCATAACTAAAAATATTACTGTGCATTTAATGAGGCCATGAGTGAACATAGAAGAAACAATCCAGGCCTATTTAGGCCTATTTATACACTAACAATAATTTCCAATAGTCTGCAAAAAAGAATAAAAGTAACTTTAATTTTGGTTAAAAAAAACTTTTTATATTTACTACAGGTCATTTTTTAACTTTTCTAATCTCTTAAGTTCTCACAATTTGTACATATGTAGGAAATGTAGGAAATTTCATTTTCTTGTTCCCTGAAGACACATTTATCTCTCAATTTCAATTTAAACAGCAATTCTCATTTTTTGAAAATAATGAGTTACTAATAAATAGATCTACTACTTTCATTAGAGCATGTTCTTCGGCTGCTTCACATTTATTGAAGGTACTGAAGGATTCCTTTTATTTCCCCCAACACATTCTGGTATAATTTTTAATTTAAAGACAGTTTTGGGTATTGTTCCTGTTTTCAAATCTAAAATCCAGATGGCAATGAAAAATGTTAATACAGTATAATAAACAGGATACATTTTTCTGTATCTACACATAAATGCAAAGTATCCTAACATACAGTATGTACATGTACAGTATGTATTGCTTTAAATATTGGATCTATTGAATCTTCAACCATCAGCTATGTTATTAATGGATCACTTCTAAAAAGGGGCAATTAGTTTTTTTAATCATTTTATAGCTAAAATTTAAGCACATTTCTAAAAAAAATAAATTAGAAAATATTATGCAGAAAAACCAAACACAAGGTTTATGAATCTATCAGTGAATTTCATAATGCTGTTTCTCTTCTGAAAAAAAGTTTCAGATATTAACCTGATATTGATTGAATATCTATGGCAGCAAAAATATTTTTCATCCACCTGACCCTATGACCTATAAGAAATATGGTATTTAACAAATTTGTAATCAGTACAACAATTCATTATTTTTCTGTTACTATTTAAACATTTCTATGAATATTATGTTTTTAATCTATTTTTTTTTAAACTTAAAATATAGCACTCTGTGCTTGGTATACAAAGACCTGAGAAAAAGTTCTGACCCTTAAGTTTGAAGCAGGATTATGGTTACAAAAAAAGTCTTTAATTTACCTGTCTAAGGAATTACATTTGAAATTAGCCCAGAGGGTTTAGTTTAGGTATTAAGTATCTTGGTCTTGGAATGCACTGCTGGTCCACTTTGAGTGTTTTTTGTTCTACCTGAACTCTCAATTAATCAACTGAACAAATAATTTAGAGAATTTTATATTTTTAAGTAATCAAATTATTATTGGATTGAAGGTTTCAGTTAAGCAACCAAGAGCTCAGATAGAACACAAAAGCTGGCACACAGGCTTAACCAGGACCAGGGTTAAATACCTCCACACAGGGACACTGTGCCTTAATACTCATTAACAACAGTAAAACCCCTGTTTTGATGTTAAAAATGTATGCATATGTTGATATTAAAAATGTATGCATAACTTAGCGTACCCTCTGTTAAAATAGTAGACTTTCACTTTACTTAGACACAGCATGCAATAGAGAATTTTCCATATACTATACTCGTATGCTAAAATTCACGTCTTCACGTCTATTTTCAAGTCTGAAAATATAATGGTATTGGAATTGCCCGGAAACTGTTGAGTAGCCACACACAATCACATTCATGTTTGAAAGCCAGTGAATTAAATAAACAATGGTTGTTGTAAATGTAATCTTCATGGTGGGGGTAACCTAATCTGATTTTAGTAACATGAAATAAATATTTGGTATCATTTGAAAATATGGAAACTACATGTCTTATTAAACATTGTTTCAGCACAACATTATTATATACTGTGACAATTATTAGAAATTTCTGTAAAATCTAAGTTTGATTTAACTTTTTTTAAATACAAGCTATTTAATATTTTAGGTACTTTTAAGATGGGTGGCAATCTGTCTTGATAATTACAAGGCCACTCTAGTACTGACAGGTGTTTCAATTTGACCTTTAAATGAAACAACTGTGTGTAACAGCACTGCATCTTGCTTAAATTGAGAGTGTGTTAATTACTATGAATAGCAAGTACTGTAATTAACAATAACCATCTTGTCACATTCCCTGCCACTAATCTGAATGAATGAACAGATGAGTAGTCTTACTGATCTGATTGGTAAAGAGTATAGATATTGAAACTACAACCATGGGTCACTTTAAAAAAGGGAATTATTTCAATAAATACTTAGAATATCCAATTGTGTAATTGAGCAATAATATTTATTTTAAAACATTACTGTATTACTGAATTACTGAGACATTCAGCTGAGTGTTGGTTTTGGAAACCTTTGAAATCACACTGCCCTAGTGACTGCTAGGGTAGATAGGCCACCGTATTTCAAAGTGAACAAGCCCTGAGCTATTAATGAAAACACATAAATTAAACTTAAGGGAATGTTGCATAAAAATGAATGTTTTGTTTACCCACTTAATTTAATGGTCTCCAACTAGATCAAATGGATAAGGAGAGTCCATTTCCCTCCTGGTTGAACCAAGGGGAAATAGGAAAAAAAAGTTGTAGGAGAAGATAAAAAGTGGAATGTAGTGAGAATGTGATGTTCGAGATGCAAAAGTAATAGGGGCCAAGTAATTTAGGATTTTAGATGACTGGCTGGTCTATTGTAAACAGGTGCTGGACATTCGCAAAATCAATTACATTTAAGTAATACTGAATCATCATTATTAGTTTCAGGCTGCAGTCTTACTGTATATACTATGAACCTTCAAAGAACTTACATTATGAGAACTTGTATGTTAGGTATTATCCAAACGAACACTGAAAAGAAAGAAAGAGTTCAAAACACATTCATATCCTGCCAAAATACCACTGCATCTGCTGCTGGTCTTTCTACTGTATGTGAACTCTGAGTTACTTCAATAAACACATAATTTACAATACTAGACTTAATCAAACTATTGTGTCTGTTAAGGTTTTATTATGCAATTGAGAATTTATATGGACCTGAACCTGGCAGAACACAATAAAACAAACTGATAAATGATGAAAAATATTTCCCTCTGACTGCCTGCTCCTGTTCATTCCTCCATTGAAAATATGGATAAAGCCAAGAATAGATTGAACAGAACAGCAAAGGTACAGGCTTTTCTCAGTTTTATGATTACCAGTCAATGCTAAAACAATAGCTGCATTTACTCATCTGCCAGCTGCTCAGCATTGTGTTATGTGGCTGTTATGGGCATAATACATTTGCAATGGATATAAGAAGTATTCATTTTAACATTGGCTTAAAATTGAAGACCACTGGCTTTCTGCTGTGCAAGGTCTGCCAGCATGTAGCACCACTACTATGATGGGTTAAAAGTGCAAAAGGCTTTCCAAACCTTATTTAAATTAGTCTGTCATTTACATATTACCATAAATGATTTTAGGACAGGCTTCTGGTGGGATGCAGTGGGATTCATGTTCCACTAAACCTGCTGGGCACTGGCAGCCTGGGACACAGGGTTTGAAGCAGTGGGCTTCGATCACACCAAGAGGCACGTCTTTGTTGAAGCAGGTCTTGGGGCATGGAGGGCCACACTCATCAAAGATAAACCCACGGTCCTGAGGACAGCCCACAGCTAAGAAGAGAAGAAAGCAGCAGTATTACCATAAATCCACCACTTGTGAAAAAGAATATCAGTTAAAAAACACAGAGAAACACAAGCCACACAAAACACATACAGTATAGTGCACACATACAGTAGTTGTAAACAGTATTCTTATTCTATGGAATCATTAATTAATAAAGCACTTGGCAACACAGTTCTTAGTTGCCAAGACCTTTCGGAAAAATATGACATTTTATTTCACTAATACAGTGTATTCACTTTCAATTTCTATCTTCATTGTAATCTCAAGGAGACAAGTACAGTACATATAATTTTGTTGTGAAAACATTTACTTCTCAGGGAATTTTTTATCTGACCTTAAACATAAAATTTCAAATTAATTTCAACAGAAATGTTGAAACCAACTATTGTTATTTCAGGCAATGAAAACAAATCTTCTGGAGTAAACATCTGTAACCTGTAGCCTGCATGATCAGAATCTTATTTATTAATGAAGGAGACTCATCGATTCTCTTTCAGTTTTTTACACAATGAACAAATAAACACTTGTATTTTTTGTTTTCTTACTTCACAGACCTTCACATTCAAACAGCACAGGTCATAGTATGCATTATGACTTGTTTTCTAATAAACTCTAATAAAAATATATCAAGCAATGTAAAATTAGAACCCAGAAAACAAAGTAATAAATGATTCACTATTCATTTTTTTCCTAAGGAAAAATATATACAACTGCATCCATGCCAACATAAATAATCACACATAGAAAATAATTTTAATTAAGAAATTCATAAGAAAAGCAAAATGATGAAGAATAAGTTAGTTTCTAATTCACACCCACAAAACACTCTGGAAAGCTCAGAGAATAATAAAAACATCAAAAATAAAATCAATCTTAATATCCAAGTAAATCTTGTTACAGAGCCACATCCATTCAGCTAGTCAGTAATCTCCGGGCACAAGAAAATATTTTTAATCAATTGATGTTTTGTCAAAATGGTACAATGTTGCATTAATACTACCTAATTTAGAATATTTTGTAAAAGATTAAAGTTTAATCAGAAATAAGATATTGCTGTCTTGGAATCAATCACCAAAAGAGCAACTGGGTATAGTCCATAGCTTAAAGGGGGACTGAAGTCCCAATTTCTCTTATTAAATCTCATTAACAAAATAAATCAAATCATGGTCAAGCAAAATTTTACAAATTCTAAATTAACCACAAAATGGTGAATCGTGAGACTTTGTGAAAGTACTGTATGGTCATCATTGTTGTCAGAAACTGCTGTTCTTGCTACAGGTGAAAGCTCACACAAATTGCAACATGAACTGGCCCTTCCTGCACAGTAATCACCGTAATGACTAATGTGCCACGCTGTACGACTGAATAAGCACAGGTTGTGCAGCGGACATTTCACCACACCGCAAAAGCATTGACAAAGTCTACACAATGAGCTTCTTCAGAATAAAGAAGGAAACATGAACTAGAGGATACAACTGGAAACTACATAGAAGTGCATTTAAAACTGAGAACAGAAGGCACTTATTTATACAAATGGACTTTTAGTGATATGGAACAAACTATCCAGCTCATCAACTATGCTGTTGGGGATGATATTCTGGCTTGTTCAAGAAACAGGATCCTTGCATCAATAAACTACTAACTACCAAAGGAGCTAGATATGGCCTCCTCTCATCTGTAAACTGCCTTATGTTCTTAATTATTATATCTATTTTAAAAGCTAAGGTTGATAATGAATACAAATCCATACAGTCAATCCATCATTTGATTCACTTGAATAATAGGAGAGAAATCTGCAAAAGGAGCTTTCACAGAAAACAGGTGTTGCATGAATATCAAGCACAGGTAGAAAAAAGTTATTGCAGAGGATGCTTACATAAACAAAAAGTTTTCTTTAGTATTACCGCAGCAGACATCAATAGTGTTATAGAGGTAAATATGTCAATTTTTTTTTGCATTAAATATTTTATTCACGTGTTCATAGGGCAGTAATCAACATTATACCACCATCTGAAGAGTTCTATTAGTTCTAATATAGCACAATTTTCTATATTAAATAGTATTATAATGGATGAGTCAGAAGTGTTATAGATACTGGAAGCACTTTGGATCAAACCAATCTCCAGGGACTAATGGTATTGTAAGAATGTACTTAAACAGTTTGATATTCAATCCTCTTTCAGCAGTCACTCAAGACAGGATTAATACCCATAAACTGGCAGATTGCTGACGTAATGCCATACATAAGACACACAAATCTGAAATAAGTACTGAACTAGAGGACACATCCATGGCAGTACTGTAGGTTTCATGGGGAGTGTAGTCATAGATTTAGAAAAGGTAGATTTTACTTAGCTGAATTGCTAGAGTCAGTGGAGAGTGTTAAATGCAAGCAGCAGAAATAAAACTATAAATAAATTATAGGAAATTCTGAGCATGAAGGAGCTAACTATGAAAAAGGGCTTACTGTGTTAATAAAAAGTGATATCTCTGTTCTGGGCCAGAGAAGTAACTAGATACATCTTGGGACTTATGGAGATGCCCTACACTGCCAGACTAAAGGAACAGAATATTTAGTCTTAAGAACAGAAGACTACAAGTCAAGCATTCAGAATCTTTATTTTTCAAAGTCAACTATATGGACTTCATCAGTATCAGCTGTGAAACATGTACAAGGGGAGGCTAATGAAAACTAGAGTAAACTGAATTCAAAACTGAAAAAAAACTTTTATACTTTTTATACAAAGGACTGTCGGGTGTATGGAACAAACTACCCACCTCTGTTGCCAAACCTGATACTGTCATTTCTTTCAGCTGAATGGGATCATTAGATAATTTGACAACTAATAAGCAAATGAACTAGATAGACCCCATGGCCTGCTCTTGTTTGCAAGATTTAGTTTGTTCTTAAGGTGAGCATCTGCTATCCCCTGCAAAACTGTTTGTCCGGACACCTCATAAAATAGAACACAGAGGGCATTTCAGGATTCAGAAAACAAAATTGTTAGACCCACGTGTTTCACTCCAGTCTGTCAATCTCACAAACCTACCACAGAGAGCTGGAGATCTCCAGTGCAGGATAACACCAGCCTCCCGACACTCTGATGCATAAGCCTCCAGGGCATCACACAAGCAGTCCTCCACGTTGGATCCACAGGCACACAGATCGTACACACAGGATGCGAAGAACATCTCAGGTGGGATCACCGCATGGCAGGGCTCAAACACTTCTGTCTTCAGGACACTGCACTTTGAATTGGCTGTCTTCCTGGCAGAGTACCCAGCCTCCTTACAGGGGTCAATGTCCTCCCCATCTCTGCACTGAACACTGGTGTGGTTCTCACTTTGTACCTGAAACCATAACAAGATATATAAATATTGTAGCATCAGCTACCCTCTGAATGCTACCGATCATCTTGTTCTCATATTTTGGGCCAGAAGGAACAAACAAAAAATCAATTTTGAATGTTATTTTCACATATTCCTGTTTCAGCTGAGTAAGCTGAGTTTATGTTTTAAAATAATAGAGGGCACAGTGCAGTAAAAAACTGGTGTCTGGAATATTAAGTTTAAGATAATTAACTGCAATCTTCATGAGACTAATAAGGATGTGTTGGAAAAAAGAGCGCCATTCAATGCTGCTGTCCTGAGTATGGTACAATATCATGCCTTCTTTTTAATCACGTTTATTCAAGCAAACCCTATCCAAGTCTTTGTTAAAAAAGTTATTTCGTATAATAAGCACTTCACCTTCAAAATTGTAATTAGTAGCTTATAATAAATAATTACAAATCGTTACCTGTATATTTCAAAACCAATGGCAAAGTTTAAAGTGTTTTTCTCCAATAACTCACCTTCCAGCTGTTTCCAAATGCGGCCTCTGACAACACAATCTGGCCAGTTCGTATCCTCATGTCATCCTGGGGATAATTGTTGAAGTTTCCACAGATTCCACACATATGACCTTTGTAGGTCCCAGGAACACTCACTTCCAGATGGGATTTTCCATTCCACAGCACCTGACATTTTGGAACATGACCATCAGTCATACAATAACATCACAATTACTCAACAACAAAAAAATGTTTTATGAAATAAGATGATAATAGCACAAGTAAGCACAAGAATGATGAAATTATATTATCTGAGAGTGAAGAAAAAACATTTTAAAATTGTAATACAAAATTTACAGAGCAATCCAGTTGTTCTGCTAGTCTTAGTGAACTAACAGGTAGTGAACTTGGGTTAACTAGTTCATAACCTGAACATTTAAATCAATTTAGGAAGTGGACGTTATTTTCAATTGTTTTTATATTACCAAATGTGACTATTCCTCAAGAATGAAGCATACAGTACCTTTACTCCAATGTTTGTGTTCAGTAAAATAATATTCGTCTTGCGCTCTACGTAAACATATGGCTCCTTTAGGAAAGGCAGAGTCACGGTCTGATAATCTACCTGTTAAGTAAAACCAGTTTGACTCATTAAAAGCACATTTGCACACAAAGGAGTAATTCACAAATAATACATTTCGTGTGGCAATTCACCTTCCAAACATGTAAAACTTGTGATAGAATAAATAAAAATGACCTTACCATGACAACCCAGTCTTGTAGGAGCTTAACCACAACATCCCCAATTAGTACAGTTACTTCTTTTGTCCAGGAGACTCCCTTACGGCCACGGTCATCATTAGTTGCATGAATGCTGCACATCAAGAAAAGATCTGATCACCTTTATTTATTTTTAATGTTTTCACATTAATTTGCAGAGACTGGGCATTTCATTCTCGGCTACATACAGTACAGTATATTTACATTCAGAATGTATTGTCTTTTTGTGCACAGAAACCTTAAAAGGACCAAATGGATAAGCCATTTCATTTTGAATGAACTTCAGAACGTACTGTTCTTCAGCCATGCAATAATATAAGTGTCAATGACTAAGTATTTCTACATCAATAATTACTGACACTGTTTTGCCTGAGGGTTGTAGGTAATACCCCTCCAAAAAACACACAAAACATTTAATTCTGCTCGTGGTTCTATGACATCACTGCACAACTTTTACTTTTGTTAAATGTTTGAGAAGTTCTAGGTTATCAAAGCACTCAGAACATTGACAAAAATGAAGGTTCTACAATTAACACTGCTCAGAACAACTTACCTGAAGTCTCCACCTTCACAGTCCTCAGCCAGGACATAGGTACAGGCACCTTGGAAGTGAATCATTTTTCCATCAAATGTGCGGTAGTGAGGGTCTCCAAATGCAATGCATGTAGCAGGTCGAGGAATGCAGTGTGGACAGCACATACCAGGAATAAGAGCCGGGGTCTCATCCTTTAAACAGAAGTGAATATGGTGATTTTCAACTTACAAAAGTGTCAAAGTTTTATTTTTGGCTACATTTTATCATGAACCTTTTGTTAGGCCACATGAGGATAAAAAAATAATTAAATGTTTGTTTTTTTTAATCCTAACATCTGAAATATCTATGTAACCTTCACTCACCAGATTTTTTAATGCAGTTCAGGAGTACCCCATGAGGTAATCAAATCACCTCAGTGCATGGCTAGGGTTAAGACATTGCAAATGTGATGAGATAAAGTTAAATATGTTAAGCTAAAAGGAACGAAGAAGTAGAAGATTGTGTGAAGGCAACTTTATGTCTTTGGCATCTTTAAAAATAGGATCTTTAACACAATTGTTAACACTATCGTGATGATTGTCATGCCAGACATTTCTGTAGAACACCTTTAATGACTTCCATGCAGCACTGCGTTCTCAAATTTTATATGTTTTTACCTACATACTCACAACCTTCTCTCAGAAATTTGTGCTTATTCTTTTAGTTTTAAATTTTAATTACCTCAAGTTTCTGACAGGCAGTATGTTGTAAAAAAAAAAGTAAAGACGATACAGCAGCACTAGGTAATATACAAGAACAATACACAGCAAATAGGAAATTATTTTTACATAACATGTTGCTTGGTTCTTAACTACAGAATACCTACCGAGGCACAAGACACCTGAGGACAGCGTTCAGTCTGGCAGTGTACCTCCCCGGAGACACAGGTACAGGTGGTGCACTCATCCACCTCCCAGTGCTCATTGGATTGGTACACATTGCCCTGGTACATGCAAGAGATGTTTGGATCTGAAACAAAGAAGAACTACAGTCAGCTGAAACGGGAACACAGGAAATTCCTGTATTGCTTTATAAGCTTTATTCCTCATTTTGCCTATTTAGATTAACTAGTTCGGTATCTGCAACAATGTATACAGTATATTTATAGTTGTAAGCTCATACATTTTTATATTCTGTTGCAAAATAAAGATAACGCTTTCTTATGCATTCATATATTTGTTTTGCATTCATCATTTATGAGTTTGCATTTCTGTACTGTGAGAGGGAAGTGAGTACACACAAAATAAAGATTCTTGTCTGCTGCCCTCAATCATTTGTCCAGTTGCTGGTTGACAACTGGTGAGATGAAAGTTTAAAAAGCAGGAAGAAAAGGCTTTCAAGGTCGGTCTGATCTGCTGTCTGGGGAACAGAAAGTAGATCTTTGGTGTGCAGCCTCTGTGCAGAGGGAGAAGGAGCACCTGACTCTAAAAGCCTTTTCTTCATTCTTTTTATACTTTCACCTAATGTTTTCATATAGATAAAAGATATGACATTTTCAGAAATCATCCCACTAGTGTTGATGCTACAGGCTGGTAATCTAAACCTTTCATTACAGCTATGTGCTGGTAAAGATCATGTTCATTATATTTACTGCTCTGGACTATCTCAGAGCTCTTGTGTCTTGAAAAATAAACTGTGTATTTGCAAAAAAAAAGGACTTAAATACCTTGACATTCATAGCAGCATTGTCCTGGAGACTTTACCTTTACTAAACCATCTTGGCAAATCACTGGTGTGCACTCTTCAATGTTGCACTCAATGTAACCAAGCTGATAAAAATAGTTGTAGGGAGGAGATGTTAATTATTTTCCTTTTTCCACTGTTTCTTATTTGAGATTCAGGAGCTACTGTGTTAGAAACTTATCTCCCATCTGCCAGCTGTAAATGTACTTCACTGCATAATATATGTAATGTAAGCTTCTAGCATTTCTAAGGACTTGCTAGAGATGCTCATATTGCACAAACATACTTAGCAATTATGAATAAAAATATGTTTATCCAAAAGATTTTTGATGAAAAACTCTCTCAAAAAGGATATGCTGTAATTACATGGGCATGTCTTTGTCATGGAAGGGGGTGTGATAATGTGTTTATAAAAAGGAATCCTTTGCCAGATTTGCAAATCAAATGTTTATGCCCATGCTAAGAATAAAGAACAGAAGACATTTAAGATCTTTTACAAAGGAAGCTGAAAATATGCCAGATTTTATAGGGTTAATGATAACACTTGAAATGGTACACCCACACACGCAACCACAAGAATGACATAGTGTGTAAAATATGTTCTTAAAGACATTTTAAAAATGTTATAAAGTTCTGTTTTTCATTTTTGGGGCAGAGCACCTACAGTACAAGAAAAAGCGCTGGTGTGAATCTGTTTTTTTCAAACCATCAGCACAGATTGAGGAACCCAAAAGTGTGAAAACCATTAGGAGACTGTGTTCATAATGTGGTGTGCTACTGTAAGTATACAGCATAAACACAGTATGTACGGTGTATAACTGTGCAGGCTGATTCCAAATGCTTACAGTTTCATGAAAGCAAACTTTGAAGGAAGGAATTAGACAGACCTCATAAGAAGCAGAATGGGAGAAAATAAATATGGCATGTGGAGAATGAATGGCAGCAGTTAATAGAGATTCTGCTTGAAGCACAGAACAGATTTATCCTAAGAATGAATATTACCAAGGCAAAAAAGCAGAATCCCACAACCTTTTCAAAAATAGTTATGCAAAATGCAAGCAAAAAGAAAGTACTTAATTAAATTATTAAAACAGAATATGATCCACTTAAAGAAAATGAGTGAGACGAATATTGCAATAGAAATTAAAACAAACAAATAAAACACTTGTTAAAGTGTTCTTAAAAGTGGAAACTCCACTGCTTCCTAACCCAGATCAGCTTCAGGAATGTGAATCAAGTTGGTCACTGGATTTTGAAAGTGGCAAAGATGTTTTGAGAAAGTGGAATAATTAGCATGGTGCCAAAGTTCATGTGGCTTTTCTATTGAATTTTATGTAAACAAATTCATACTGTAATTACAGCCCACAACAGTCACTACTTATATACTGTACAACAATTAAAAGCCCCTGCTGAGTTACAGAATGTCCCTTTCATTTGTCAATTAAACAAAAATGTTACACAAATGGGAAAATGAGTCTCTGGAAATATATCAATCATAATCAAAAAAACAAAACATTGAGAAATGATGAGATAAAACTCACATTACAGGTGCATGTGATGCATTCATCTATGCTGTCAGTCCAGCTTTCCCCATTAGAAACACGACGATTTTCAGCTTCAATTATACACTCTGGAAACACAATTCCCACAAGTGTTGTTTGAAATCATAATTGTAAAGATGATGTACAGTATTAATATAAAATATATTATTCTGTGAGACACATGTATATATCTTAATTGGAAAACACATTCTAAAGCTTTACTGAAACAAATCACTGCATGTGGAGATAGATTAGAAGCTCTTAGAACAGTTTTGATTCAATCAATATGTCTTTTTTATTTCAAACAATAAAAAGCTCTTCTTCTTTTATCTTGTAGGACTTAATAAGACAGACATGAGAGGAGAAATGTTTACAGGCAAGAGAGGAGAAATTTCATCTCTGTCATCAAAAACGTGAACAAAAAATGAAAACCAATTGTGCAATGCTAATACCTGTAGATGCCATTGTTTTAGATAAAATTAGGGATATTTTATCAGAGTAATTTATAAGTATCTAATCACAAATTAGACTTTTACGCTTACTATTAGTCTGGCATCTCTCGTTTACAGTCCTGATAAAACTAGAAAATCAGTAACAAACAATAATCAAGCGGTACAAAAATAAAGACATGATGGTACCACAATTAAGCAATTGAAAAGAATGAGATTTCTGTTATGTTACTTTCCATGAATTATAGACTTAAGGTTAAATATTGCAGACATCTAGTCTTCATACCATCACAAATGGGGCAGCAAGAGTCTTCTGGAGTGAACTGCTCTGAGATTGGACAGCTTAGAGGAAGACAGCCTTGGTGGATACAAACCCAGGTCAGATCCTAGAAAAAACACATCCATTGCAGTATTACTGCAGTTCTAGCAGAAAATAATTAGCATTACTTCATATTTTAAGAGTTTTTGCTATTGATAAGACAAAAATCTTATGAAAGACAAGTTCTACTTTGTTAAATTAGTTCTGGAGAAAATGTTTAAGGAGAGGTTTAAGACATGATTGAAGCATACAGTACAGTACATAATGTCTCCTGTTACCATATACAGTACAGTACCGTACCTTACACTGACAGGTATAACATGGATCATCTGTAGCAGGGATCTCATTTCCTACAATATCTATTGTGCAGTTACTGAGAGGTTCTAAAATAAAAGAAAAAGTTAAGTCAGATATTCCAATAACAAGAGTGAGATCATTTACAATATTCAGTACAAGGGTATTAACTGCTATAGTGCAGGATAGTACTATCAAATAGAGAGGTGTAGAGATTACACAATGCTACTGTATATTCTTGTATTATATATGCTACACTAATATTATTAAGGCTTCACAATGTTGCTTGCTAAAAACAAAAATGGAATATAACTTGCAAACAACACTGTACACTGTACAGTGAACTCCATCTCTCTTCCCCTACAGCCTCATTGCAGGCTGATTACAATAACAAAGGAGAGTGTTTAAATCAGTTCTCCAGATGTTGGCCTCATTTCCATCACTGATTGTTCTCTAGAATAAAAGAAAATAAAGGCACCATTCAGCTCTGCAATGTAAGGGTAATTTATCAGGCTCTCTATTGAGCCGCCCTGCATACCCAAATGGTAGCACTTCTCATTCAACTAACAGCCATCATTTCAAATTTTGTACTTTTATTCTGGTAATATAAACATCCGAAGCCATCTGTTTACTAGTTATTACTATGAAGCAACAGAAAAGGCACCACAGATGGACTACGGCTTAGTGTTTAAAAGGTCATTTTAAAGACAACATGACTACAAAATCTGATGAAATAACAATGACGGCCACTTTTGAGCATGTAGTTTCGAGGCAGGTATTTTGTAGTTTTTTTAACAGATTTTTACCCTGTTATCAATTTTTGCAAACATGCATTGAACAGAGGTAGGGTTGTACACTTGCACTGGGCTATAGAACTCTTCCTGTTAACTTTCATAATATTTAAAAAGAAATGTAAGACAAACAAACAGAGAGTTCTGAAAAGGATTTCGATTTGTAATGTCAACTACTGTAAAACTTCACTCCATGAGAAAATTTGACGATAACACCCAAAAGAAACACAACAACAGTTAAAACAGATATTAATAAAACAGATATACAAAATCATAGAAAATATGAACAAGATACAGATAAAAAAATCACGTGTTTTCAGTATAGATTGTAACACACTGTGCAAATTAAAATAGTACACAGCTAGTATCAGATATAACCTTCCCTGGAATCTTATTGCTCAAACTGCACTGAGGTAAGATTTCCTTACTGAGCCACATGGAAGCACACTCTTCTAATTCATTGTGAAAAAGCACCCATTCAATATATAGAACTATATATATAGAATATATAAAATATATAACTAGGAACAAATACAATTACACGGTTCATCAACAATTAAGAAAGAAATACTGACGGGCACAAACAGGACAGCAGAGGTCAGGACCAGGGAACTGGATGAGGTTCTTGGGGCAGTCCACCAGACTGGGGCACTGCTTACGGTAACAGCGCAAATGTTGCTCTCCATCTGGCATCACCTACAATATCGGCACATCAAGTAAAAAACCCTTAACGTTTGAGAACAGAAAGTTATACCAGAAAGACGACAAAGCTTCACAGTCTTGATATTTTAATTTAATTTAACATTGTTTCTCTTTAACCATGGTATAGGAATAATCCAGACTGAAAACGTCATCATGATCACTGTTTGCTGCAGAAGATAATTAACATTTTATTTAACTGTACTGGCACATCTTACAGAAAGCAGGCAGCTCCATTTAGGATATCTGAATTAAACCAAGGCACTAGAAATCACATTCCTGTCTCTTCACAATTCCTGATTTGGCAATATTATTTTCATTTGTCTATGTTACAGGCTAGCCACCATTCTCTAAATGAATTACTGTGCATTATTGTTCTATGTTAAGTTTAGCTGTAACCAAAATATGGTTAGAAAAGACTAAATTTCAGCAAGCCACAAAAATAAAATTAAAATGCAATTACATTTTGCTTCTAATAGTTGAGCTGCACAGAATTTTAAGCCTGAGAGTTTTGTAACTACTCCAATGATACAAAAAGTCAAGAAATTGCATATAAACTCCTTATTACAGATGTAATTTACTTTTATATTAAAGTCACTAAATAGCAATATGGAAATAATATTGCAAACAGCCCTGTGTCCCTTGCAATTACATGGCAACAAAATGATAAACCCTTCTGTACCAAACAGTTATTCAGACATTTGTTAACTGATGTAGCAGCTTTATATATATAATTAGCCAATTGTTTCAATTTAAATATATAATTTACAACGTTCTTATTATTTTGTCTCCTGACCTCACAAGTACAAATCTCGCAAGGGTCATCAGAAGGATGGAAGCTATCTCCTGGGCCGTACACTCTGTCACCAAACACACAGTCTGAAAAGCAAACACATGATTAACACATCTCCTTACGGTTTCACTGATCTCCAGAATTGCAGCTACAAATAGAACTGTATTGTTTTTTGCCGTTGGAAATGTAGAGTTACTAGCCCGAAATCAACCTTTTCCAAACTGGCAACATTGTTTTTCAAAAGGATACTGAATTTTGGTGTATTAGCCTGGAATGTGAAATTTCAAATGGAAGTTTTGAAGGAAAAAGGCAAAAGCAAAAATGATGATCTGAAATAACTGTTGCTTTTCTTGCTGAAACTCATTTCAGAAACAGCTGGCAAGACCAGAAGGTCTTATCTTAACCTATTCTTTAGGACATGTGCAGTTTACTCTATTCTGAAACACTACTTTCCCTGCCTTCACAAAAAGCCATAACTGAAAGGAAAGCTTCAAGTCATTCACGCAGTGAACAAATTTACAGCAGGTTCTTAGAATTTCTTATGATTTGCATCAAAAGAAAGCAGATAAGCACATGCACCTACCGGCACACACTGGACAGCACTCCCCAGGAACATGAACCTCATTGACACACGAGGAGACACAGCGGATGTCAGAGCAGGTTGTGACACCATCCACACACATGCAGGACATGCAGGGCGTTGTGGAAGCAAACCAGGTGCTGCCTTCATCATACTCCCTCCCATTGTAGACACACCCTATGTAGAATGTTGGACAAAGACAATACAGTAGACCATAGTCGTGTATGAGTTCTTTGAATACAACAATTACTTCATATTCTGTCATCCTCTCAGATTACTGAAACTGAAAATCCCTTGGAACATCAAAACAAGAAATTCAGATAAATACATGTGATTAAACTGCACTGAAGGGGTTGCATTAGACATGGATCTGACTTTAGCAAATAAAACCGGATAGCTCATTTAATCAGTCTAACAATCAACTTAATATGATATCTAGTGCATGATGAATTCCTATCTTTTCTTTCAGTCTGTCACTCATTTGCAGTCCCAACATTTTTTTTCTACTACAGCTGTTCACTGCTGGCTGAAGATCTGTGAAGCCATTATTTATCTTTGTGATTCCCAACAATGACAGTGTTGTAAAAAAAAAAAAAGGTTCTTAAAAAACTTGAAAATGAAAGTTCCTTCGATGAGGACTCTCGCAATCTTTTCCTTTTAAAATTGAGACAGGTCAATCCCAGCGCTCTGCCTTGTAGCCAGATCAGCATTAGAGCACAGAGCCACCTACCTCTGCAGCCAGGACAACATGCTCCAGGCTCTGTAACTTGGTGCATGCAGTTCAGCCTGGGGCACAAGGTATTGGCACAGTGGACATTTCCTTCCTGAAACGCATAAAGGTATTTTTTGCATAAAGCTTTTCTGTACACCACTCTTTGTGGAACAGGACAGTTATCAAAAATCCAAATTGCTTAGGAATATTTTGGCAAGCTCATTATACTGCTAAACTATTTAAAATGGACTTGATTAAACAAATAATGACAGAAAATTATAACGAGTCCTCCACACACTTAGCAAAATAAAACCTCTTTTTCTTTGCATTGTTATGGTACTGCAATGCAAATAAGAACATATACTGTATCTATAGGTTGTAGAACATATTCAATACCTTGCCTAAATACATGTTATTAAAACATAGTTTTACTCAAAGGATAAAAAAAAATATTGACTAGACAATTTGTAATTAAAGGTAGGGTATGATAGGGTATGAATAGATCTTCATTACTTAGTGTTTGGATTCACTTAAATATTCATTTTGCAAACACTGGAAAGAGTTGCAAGTCAAATATATACAGAAAAATGTTAAATTGTGTACACAAAGCAATTGTTATTCTAGGATGTTATACTTTTAAAAGAAAGGAACAAGTAAAGGTTAATTCCACCCTGAAAAGTAGAATTAAGAAACACAAAGTTTCGGTTGTTGAAATTTCATCAGGTATGAGTCAGTTCTTCTCAGTTCCCCACTGAAGCCTTTCAAAAAACATTCTGCCCATGCCATCCTTTCACATCAAAACTAATACGGTATCCCTTTAACTAGTCATCATCCCATTTTGCCTCATTGACGTTTTAGTCTTTTTTCTTTTCTATAGCCATTGAATGTACTGTAACTGATCTAATAAGGTCCAGTGAGGTTCAGCCATGTAAATTATTTAACATTAGTCAAAGCAAAAAGACGAAAAAAATGAATATATGAAATGTACTTCCAGTGAAGGCATAACTTCTACTGTCATACATTCATGAATGATTAACTAATTTTTGTACTGATTTATGATGCATGTCTTCACAAGAAAAGAAATATTGGCGGGTTCTTACACTGCAGGAGCACTGCCTACAATTGTTCAGGGTGAAGCTTTCTCCATCGCTGTAGGTTACACCTTCAAAATAACAGTCCTGGCACCTGGGACAACACTGTCCCAAAACAGGGGAGGGGTTACTGCACGGCACATCACAAACCACCGCTGAGCACTCCACCTCTCCTCTCTGAAACACACATAAAGCACAGGTCACCCCTGTGAGGCTGTAAAGTTGATGCCTTCTCAACATGCAGCTACAGCTACAGCAGTTTTGTCTTGCTTCTACAGTATCTGATATTGTCATCCAAGCAGTTTCACTCATTACTCTCCTGTTGTTTCAAAGCATACTGAAATGCTTTTCTTTGTATAAACAATAATTGAAAACATTATTCCACAAGTTACTTCATACAAAATAGTGTCTAGATAACCTTCCTTAAAGGAAAAATGAAAATGAACTGTGAAAAATATAACAGTAATTTATATGTATTTACTGTACAGTATATGCAGATATGGAACTGCTGGTAGAAGAGGACACTGACTATACTGTGTTTGTGCTCCATTTATATCTGGGGAAGATGTTCTCAGTACAGATTGCAATGCCAGATAACCTAGGTGCTGGTGTCTCTCTGCCTCTCTTCTTTGAAACCTGCTGTGTGCAGGGATATTCAGATACAGAACTCATGCTGAACAGCTGCCTTTTCAGAGCAGGATCTCACTTCATTACACCTGCTTTTCACATGTGCAAGCAAGTTAGATCTATCTAATAGAAGAATACTGTGAATATGGGGTGCATATCATTACCGTTCTCACTCATATCTTCCCAAATCATTAGCATACATTGACAGACATTTAGCATATTCAGCACACATATATTGAGATTCTTGTAAATTTTAGATGTGTTTTCACAGCCATGTCTTGATTTTGAATATTTCTAATTGTGGCTGGTGAATGCAGCTTTTTAATTACACACCCCTTATTGTTTCCTTTTGTATGAGAAACGTATGCAAACGAGGCACTTAATGTCCCACGGAAAGATTAGGCTTACAACACATTTGCACTCCTGGCAGTTATCTGCAGTGGAGAGCCAATGACTCCCTTCTTCATATTCTTTCCCGAAATATGAGCACACTGCAAAAAACATGTAAAGGAGACATCAGAAGATGAGATGAGAAGAAAAACCCTACATTGTGAGTCAAAACTACATTGTAATTTAAGTAATATTGTGAAACTAGCCTTACTGGTAAATCTGCAGATACAGTATGTCATGTTATACTCAAAATAACTTACAATATTTTTAGTGATTGCACGGAAATCCCTTTCATTCCCCTTAAGACACTAAGAAAATACATTTTCATACTACTGTACATCATACTATTATATAAAAGGGTGCAGTCATATATTCCCTAAGACCTTGATTTAAGAAAAACGCAAAGCAAATAGAGGTACAGTGAGGCTAAGAACTTCCCAAGGCTTTTTCGCATGCGCTGATGCAATCAAATTTAATTACATACAGAAGCAGTATTTTTATCTTGTCTTAGAAGTGACAGTAACGAATTAAAACAGAAAATTTTAAGTCCTGGCTGTCGTTTGCTTTGACATTTTTAGTGAAACAGAAATGCAACATTTTAATCTTCTACCCTCCTCTCTTTGTGATGAGCTTTCTAAATACAATTTATGAAGCTGCATTTAAATATTTACCTGGACATTCAGGGCAGCACTGCCCAGGTTTAGTGACAGGATTGGGACATGGTATCTGGGGACACACTAAGGGGGTACACACAACATTTCCTTTGAGGCAACTACAACGCTGGCAAGGGTTTGATGGAGATGAGAAAGTCTCTCTGTTGCTGAATGTAATGCCCTCAAAGAAGCAGGCATCACAGGCTGGGCAGCACGCAGTAGAGGGCACTGGGTGAGAGCACTGATGGGGACAAGGCCTTCTTTGACAAGTCACAACCTCATTCTGAAAATGAAACAAAGAAGATGATAAAGTGAGTGCATTCTTCTGTACTTCTGCACCGGCTGCAAAAATGCATTCAGGAACTATTGATGAACTGAGAATTAGCCTGCCTAATATGAGTCATTTTCACTCTTTAAATAAAACAGCACTTGTGTTTCATTTTGGAGCTTGCCTACACACAGTAGGACCAATTCATAAGATGTCGCAAAATTACGCTTTTTGCACATATGGTATAACTGATTCACAACATTTTTCTTGTAGCGAGGACATCATCCAACGAGCAAAAAACAAAGACCTCTTTAAATTAAGAAAAGTTTCATTACAACAGAAAAAAAAACAGAAATCTTAAAGGAGACCTTAAATGTAAGGTTACATTTAACAGAGGAGCATTAGCATTTCGATCCTGATAATTCCTTCTGCCATTCAGTGCTTACCAGGCATGTACACTTTGAGCAGACGTCAGTAGGCGAGTCAAAGATGGTTCCGCTCTCATACAACTGACCAAGGTAATGGCAGATCCCAGTGCAGACCGGACAGCACTCTCCAGGGGGGGTGACTGGGTTCCGGCAGAAAACTGAAGGACAAGTCACTGGCACACACGTGACTCCCCCATTCTTAAAACACACATTCAAAAACAGCTTTATGTGCAGTGAAATTACTTGCCATTTGATTACTAGCAAATGCTGGGTACCATAAACTGGCAAAACACTTTCTACTTGAAAACTGTTTTCATTTCTTGTCATAAAGAGCACAGTGGTACAGTGGTCATGTTTAAAATAGTATAATTTGACATTGAAATAATATATACATAAATTCAGAGGGCCCTGTAACTGTAGGATATCTTTGGTATTTTATGGTGTTTTCTACTGATGAAACATTGGGCAACTGCCTTAAGGATTTGTGTACTGTATATCAATTATTCAAACAAAAAGTAAGCACAACAAAATCTAGCTTTGATACAGAAGAAAATATATTGTGTATAGTATGTAAACCAATGCAAAAAAAATCATATTTGGTATGGGCAAAAGTATTTGTCAGTAATAAAATCACCATTTGAAATGTTATAATGGAAGCTCATAAACCTAAATGCACTAAAAGCTGACTGATGCAAAGATTTGGGAAAATGTTCACATTGAAGAGAAGCTAACAATGTATTCAAAAATTGCAACATAACAGAAGTTAAAGGAGGACACACTTGTGATGTAGTTTTTTAAATATTAAATTTTGACCTTTATTATGCTTGGTATTCTTATTTTGCAAAGTCTGTTCAGAAGGGTGTAAGTATTTGTCATTATTTTTCCAGGAGTCATTAATGCATGAGTAAGGTTATAATTGCATGTACTGTATGTTACATACAGTATTGTCACTACAGAGCTGGTACCACTGAAGAATGATATCTGTACAATGTAGTTAACTGGGTAAGATTGCAGTCCTGGATTATCTTAAAATTTAATTAATTTACCCCGAGAAAAAAGCTACTTTAAAATCAAGACAACCCTGGGGTGGCGTTTCTTCTGCTTTTCAAATATCATGAATTTCATACCCTTGTTTTTCAGATTCATTTCAAAATTGTATATTTACATAGAAAAGATAAGACATGAAAAACAAATGCGTACAAAAAACAAATGCCAGGAGCAAGGTCTGCTGCCTTATACCATATAGTAATGCTTTTTGTGCGTTAAGCAGTAATTTTGAGAAATGGCTCCACTGAACTTGTTCTATAGTTCATAATTGTGAGACTGCTTGTAAGGAACATAAATCATTGTTTTATCTTATTACTCTCAATACAATTCAACTAAAGCAAAAAAGAAATGCTTTAATGCTTATAGTACAGTATGTATGACTTTAGCTACTTGAAGATCATTACAACAGGCTGTAATGTGACAAAGATCTCTATACTGTTTTTTACTTTTCAGCAACAAAACTTAAAACTAAATAACTCTGCACTAATTGTATTAATTGATTCTTACCAGACAGGTACACCGCTGGCACTTGTTTTTGGGATCGATGAATCGCTCTTCATTCTTACAGTCTCTGTCATTAAAATGACAGCCTTCACACAGAGGGCAAGAGCAGACGTCCATGCCAGGGTGAGGGCAGGTGACCTTACTGCACTTCTTTGGGCCACAAGTCACGTCACCTTTCTGAAGGATTGGAGAGGAGAAAGAAAACACACTGTAAGGCTGCAGCAGTTATACTGTAGTTTTACTGTAGTTTCTCAACATAGTTTTCACTCATCAGCTTCAGGTGGTCCTTAACTTTCTCTTTACTGAAACAAATGCATGACTTGCCCCTCCCCAGGCTTGAAGAACAGGTGTCAATTATTGATTAAAAAAGTATCTATTATAATCCATTATGGCAAAAGTATCTAAAAAGTCTCAAGAAAAGAGAATAGCCAGGGGCAGAACATATGCATAGACATCAAACCCACTGCTATTCTTGCAAAGGAATACACACACAGTCTGCTTCATTACTAAAACCAGATATTTAATGAAAGCACAAAGTTATATAAGTAGCCAAATCCCTGCCACATAACTCACCCATCACCCATCTGCTAAGCAGTAATTTATATCGTTGCCTCTTCTGTGACATAAAACTAATGTTGCTATTAAAAACAATTCATGACGCTGAGGCAAGAAGTCACACAAATGAGCTATGGATTTGAGAAGTTTAAAGTCAGGACAGTTTGTCCTGTAAACAGGTAAAGACACATCAGATGTGGCTGTGGCTGTGTAATCCAGTTTACAGTGCACATACTGTAACTGCCTGGAGGAATGTTGTAGGTGGTCCTCTGCCGACCAGGGCTTACAGTGTTGTTGCCCTTCCGCTGTCTGCACATGAAACCACCCTTTAATAAAATGGGTTTTGCAGAAATTCATGAGGAACTTACAAAACATGTGCAGTCCTCACAATCCCCATTGGGTCCTTTGAAGGTTTCTCCATCTGCATATACTGTTCCCAGGAAAACGCAACCTGCAGAAAAGAGGCTCAGGCTCTGTCACATGTTAAAGCACATCTGCTTCCATGTCACCTTGCATGATATATATTTTGACAATACAAAATAAGAGCTTCATACCTTAGTGCTATTTTTTTTTTTGCTTTTGCTCATTTAGATTGCATTCTAATTGAATTACTAACACACTTTAGCTGTACCCTATGATTGATTATTCTTGGCAGGTAATTCGTTTAAGATTTTCTAGACTTTCTTTAAAATGTTTTGGAATTAATTACAGAACATTTCATTACATAATATAAACTTGATCCCTGTAATATGCTGTCATGTTAACTCTACAGAAACCAAACCAGTAATTGGAAGAAAACAGCTTTTAAAATCTTTTTCTCTGAATCCAAAAACAGAATACAATTACATAGTGAACAACAAATATACTGAAATCATTACACCATTAATTACAACTGAGGTAGTTTGCAAAATAATCTAGTCATGTTTTAACAAATATTCCACACCTGAAGGAGACTAAACAGCTAAAAAATTGTGTTTATTCTTTCTAGTTTTCAGCATGAAATGAACCTTTAAATCCTTTGCAGCCATTGCACCCCGACACATATTCACATATGTAAATACAGGATCATAGAGCAAATAATACCTTCACAGATGGGGCAGTCACATGGCCCAATTACTGGATGGGAGCAGAATGCAGGGGGACAAAGTCTCTTCATACACTGAACTGATCCTGCCTGAAAGGAAAATATATTTCACAATGAAATTGGACAACATGCTTAATGAGTTTCTGTACATGAGGGTGCTTTAAGTATTGACTACTTCAGGGCTTAAATTAACCCAAAGGTTAAAACTGAATATTTCTGTGAACAGTACTAAGTCATTATTATTAGTTATTTTGCAAGATGATTTAGTCCAGACTTTTCAGTTAACTTCGTCAATTTCATGAAGCACACCAACAATTGTAACAACAGAAGTCTTACCCTGCAGGTACACTGAGAGCAAGGATCAGCAGGATCCTGGAATGTCTGTCCGTTGATGATAGCAACGTTACTGTAGAAACACCCTACCAAGAAAACCCAAGGTCAGCAATCTTGCTTAATTTCTCAACACTAAACAGAAACAAAATTCTTCTTGTGACCATGCAAGTTTCTTCTAAGTATATTTTTAAATGATGAAGGTGAAGGCAACAGGTGACAAAGACTGTTTTATTGCTCATTTAGTTTTTTGCAGCATCTCAATTGGCCTAAGAACAGTTCTGTCACATTTGTGAACATTTTTTGTGTTAGTCATTTTATTTCCAAGCAATTTTCAGATTGCTTGTTGTTGGGGTTTTTTTTACCTCTTAGTTCACAACAATGACTCCAACGAAAGAGTTCCAATTCTTTCTGAGGGTGAAAAGTGAGGAAGGGCAGACAACTCTTGCAACTGTACTACCCATCAAACAATTTTTCTTTTGACATTGCACCACAAGCTCAAAAACACCTTTCAGGACAGTAAAGCCAACTAGAAGAGTGCTTCATCCCTCACTGATACCACTGTTAGACTTAAAACGACAAGGAAATCACCATAAGCGTATTTTAACTAGACAACCCAATAAAGTTGGGGAATGCTGGCCATAAAGTCCTGGGTTGTCCTAGTAATGTCACCTGCATTTTAAGGACTGCATTTTTCAATCACAGCCACACATTATTCAGTCATATAAGACCTTTAAAAAAGGTCTTTTGTTATGTATTCACAAGATACTGTATCTACTGCAATAAAAAAACATTGACACATTTCTAGTATTCTGATTTGCTCAGGGAAAGCACAGAGCTCCAAACCAGTGACAACCGTATTCAAACAACAAATCTAACCTAAGGGAATTTAAACAGCAATATGCCTAAACAGCACCTTGTGAAATTGCAAACCAATGCACACATCTGTCATTAACCAATCCCTTTAATCTAAACGTTAGGGCAACTGCAGAGACATTGTTACCATTTAAGAACGTAAGAAGGTTTCAAATGAGTGGATGTCACTCCTCGGTCCTTCAGGACCTTTTGGTAGTTAGCAGGTAATAAATCAGAGGATCTCATCTCGCCATTTCTTGAAAGAAGTTAGAGTATCAGTTTCAACAACGTGACCTGTACAACTTTGATCGTAAAACCCCATGTGTCTACTATTCTCGGCTATAAATGCACTTCCACACAATTTCCCCCAGTTCATTGTGTTGGCTTGCCAGTGCCATTGAGGGTTTTCAATATCTGAATCAAATGTATTTTATTTCCAAGGAAAAACTGTCACAAAGAGTGAAAAATATGTTATAGCACCTATACACAAGTATGGAATCGACAGACCACATTTTAACAATGTATGCTGTGATCTCTTGTGACAGGAATTATTAAGCTTACCTTCACAAACTGGACAGCATTTCCCAGGGAGTGTAATGGGATGGGTGCAGCCTGGGTTATAGCAGGGTTTGGGGCTGCATGTCACAAATCCATTCGTACAGACACAGTGATTGCACTGGTTATAGGAATCTGTGAATTCCTGTCCATTCAGATATGTGTCCCCAATGTAATTACAACCTGTTGGAAGGCATACAAATGGTAGAAATCTGAGAAAATACTGCTCATACATTTGATAATGGTGCTCATCTCCTGGCGCTAGATCCCTTCGTTAACCATACATTAACAGGCCTCATCAAAAAATGCAATCTCCATACATTACCAGACTTCCTACAGAGACAAAACGAAATCCACACAAAAGCAGTGATGATTCCGCTTCTTTATTTTTTGCAACCCTGCTGTCTTGTCTTAGATTATATACGTTTTATAACTTCTCTGTCTCCAGCATTAGAAATTCTAATATCCCATCACAAAAAAGTAATATTTGCATTTTTGTAAAAAAAAAATGTTTCATGCTGAACATTCCAACATTTTAAGCATGAAACATACCCAGTTTTCTTTGCATTCACAGCCTGAACAATCTTTGTGACTTCGCTCGTAATGACTTTACTCATGGTCTGGACTTGAGCATGGTTGTGACTCCTAAGCAGTTTTATACGTGAAGCCTTTCTTTGCAATTTATTGAAGCAATACAAAAAACAATTACATAAGGCCACTTTATAAGCTATTTACAGTGAATGTGTCATATAAAAACATTTTCACAGAGGAACATAGCAGCCTGTTGAGCAATTCTAATACAACAAATGTGATTTATTTATGAACTTGCAGTCTGGTGTAGCAGCAAGTCTTATTAAAAATACAGGAATTAAGTTTGCTGCCCCCTTGCCAGTCTCTGTCTCTCATCTCAGTGGTGCTGGATACAGTGAGATACAGTGGTGCTGGATCTATTTGGTTCACATTTAAGGTGTTTTTCTAGCTGATAGAGTGTCCTGATAAGATACAACTCCCAAGGCTGAGACACATAAGCCACCCTAATTAATGGTCATCTCTGGCGCCTTACTGTCTGGGAGATTCCAAGGGAGAGTCTCATCCCAAGTTGTTTACAACCCTAAGGTCAGAGTGCATTGTTACTCATCCTCAGCCAATCAGGAACTGGTAGGGCAGGGTAACCCCACATGGGTCTTGAATGCCCACGAAACTTTCAACCAATGAACGACCATAGTTCCTCCAGTTAAAACAGGCAGGACAGGACTCCTCCGTGCCCCTCCAGGACATTCTCAGACTCAACTCAGACAACCACGTAACGGCCAGTCTGTCCAAGTACCAGGACTTTACTTTGTTCTGAGAGTCGAGAACGGAGGTCGCCGAGCGTAACCAAAGGATCCACCCAAGGTTAGCCAGCAGCAAGCCTCGTGAATCCACCGCGAACACTCACCAGATCAACAAGTGAACTACGGTCAGAACTGTCAACAGCTGAATCTCAGGATTCAGGACTAGCGCTACATCAGGAACGAACCAGTCTTCTTCCTGTCTAAAGAGTGGGACCCGGAAGCTTGGACCCGCAGTCACTTTTCTCAGGTGCATAAACTCTGCTAGTTTCAGCCAACACTAACTAGCTGGTCTTCAGAGAGCATCAGCAGCACATCGCAGCAGAAATCCCTCTCTCCTTCTCTCTCGTCGAACCAGCACTGCCTGGCACCGGGCCAGAGAACGCCGACTGGACACAGCAACAGCCTGCCACTGTTCCTTTGTGTATTCAAGATTGGATGAGTATTCAACATTCTGCATTACAGCTCGAGAATTCAATTGTTACCTCAACGCCAGTTGATATCAATTTAATTCCTATGAGTGATGTACAGTACTTGCTTTTGAGTATCTAGTGTAGAAGTTGTAATCCAAGTTCGTTTACAAAACGGTCTAAATGAATGGTATCCTGAATGTATATTCCTTTTGGTTTGTAACTCTTCGTGATGAAATATATACCTTTTGTATTCTGCTAACCCTCACTGATAAGATCTGTTATGTTTATACACATTTCATGTATTAATAAATGTATTGTCGTGTATTAGTATCCGTGTGTGTGCGTTACTGTTATCCCGCAAGGTTGGTCTTCTAATAGCCATCAAAGAATCATTTTGTGACTTACTGCTACAATTAATAATTGTCGCAGTAAATGCACAAAAACCCTACATTTATTGGTGCTTCGTGAGAGGATGCCTACACTGGTGTTCTTGGTGAATATTGTTTTGAAGGGCAATGCTTTGGAATATCTAAAAAGAAACCCAAGTTGTATACATTCAGCAGATCAAGGAGTACAATAAAAAGCATGAACAAACAATCATCAAGAAACATTTGTTTTCCTGCACTGAAGTTTAGACTCACCACCTAAATTGCAGACATAATATTGGTATAGTTCAGAATGGAATAGATGGCAATTTAACTTATAGAGTAGACAGATAATAAGCTTGGAAGCTGAAGGGTTTTACGGATATCAAACACTGAAATTGACTGTATTTCAAAGCTTAATGAAGCATTGTGCTGAAGAACTCCAGTTATTATTTGAAAACTAACATCATAAGGATGGGTCCAGACATGTCATGCCTAACTGTATCTGATAACAAATACTGTACATTGAAGGCTTTCATAAAAATATTCACAGCCAAATTTAATTTAGAAGTTAATATTCATCAAGGTTGAATACAATTCATGTGATTTTACACATTTTCAACACATTAAGCTAGGTTTGTTTTATTATTTTAATAGAATTATATATTTTTAAATAATCTAAATTATATTTAAAGAAGTACTAAAAAAACTGTCTTTTGGAGCAAATGAAATTCTTCATCTCTGGAATTGGGCTCAGAATCAATCAGTTATATAACTGATAGTGAACAAAGAAAATGTAACTAAGTATTCAAAAGTAAAAAGTCACAGGTATAACTCACGCTTCAGCAAAGTATATGCATTCACACATTATCTGTCTGTATATTAACACTAACATCCATCTGATGCAGTCATTTTCCAAACATCTTGCATTCTTGAATGAAATCTATGTTTTAAAAATAGTAAATATGCCTAATTGCATGCACAGATTGATATGCTGCTATTGTCACATGTTTTCTTAATTAAACATGTATTTTCCTTGGGAGCTATAACAGTCCTGTGTCATTTACAGTACTACAGAGATGCAGATTAATTTTCTTACAAATTATATGTTTCATATTATAATCTCTCATTATTACAATGGTACATACAGTATGTGGTCTTCAATAGTTTTGTCTTCAATTACACTTCTGTAGTATTCTCTGTTCAGGGAACTTACCATCACAGGCTTGACAGCACCGGGTTTGCACTGGAAATGGACACTCCATGACTGGGCAAGGCCTCTTCTCACAGGAAACAGTACCTTCCTGGCAAACACACTTCCCACAGGGATCAGACACATCCGCAAACTGCTCCCCATTAGCAAACTCCTTCCCATTATAGAGACAACCTACCAAAGAAAAGAGACAAGTTTAAACTGAAATCTTCTGCTTGGGCAGTAGAAATAAACACATCCATGTATTGGGTAAATACTCCTAACTTAGAGAATTCCAACACTCTCTGAATATCATTGTTTTTTTAGATTAGCGCACTGGACACGCTACTATATTTCTATCCAAGGCATATAGGCACCTTTAGGCACATGTTAGGTCAATAAAGGTCAATGGATTTATTAGCAATTTGATATCTATTCCAGGTCTGCATTATAAAATGACCAAAGTTGAAAAATGGATTGGATTTTTTTTTACTTTTTGTATTATTAGTTACTTAACAGACATCCTTATCCAGGGTTACTTACCATACACACTATATACCAATGTTTAATAAATTCAAGACAAATTTCAAATTCAGTAGAAAAAGTAGACAAAATAAAATCATATATTATACATATTAGATACAGGAAAACATTTCATAAACATTAAGTTATACTATTTTTACGCAAAATATGATTTCATTTTAATTCAACAGAAATACAATGATTGCTTGATATTTATGGAATGTTTGCTGGTGTTTAAATAAAATATTATCATTATCTATATACATGTATTTATCCTGTAAAGTATAATTACATTTTCTTACTCTCCTTCCCTCGGGTTTCCTCATGTTTTAAAACACCAGATGAAAGCAATACTAAGAATCATCATACATTCTTTTAAATAGTTAACATATTAAATCATGGTATTAGCATCTTTTAAGTCTGGTGAAGCACACTGAAAGCATGGTGAAACCATATGAGGCTGACAACATCTATTCTTTTTTGCACAAAGCAGATAATCATCATTTACATACTGATTTAGTATTTTATCATAAACCTCAAATTATATGAATAATACCCTGCTATATCAATGCAGGCACAAATTACAATAATAATAATCTTTTACACTTATATAGCGCTTTTCTGGACAATCCACTTAAAGTGTGTTACAGATGGGGTTTCCCCTCCACCACCACCAATGTGCAGCATCTACCTGGATGATACACCAGTACACTCACCACACACCAGCTATCAGTGGGGAGAAGAAAAGAGTGATGAATCCAATTTACAGATCAGGCTTATTAGGAGGCCATGATTGGTAAAGGGAAATCTGGCCAGGACACCGGGGTTACACCCCTACTCTTTTCGAGAAACACTCTGGGATTGTTAATGAGAACAGAAAGTCAGGACTTCGGTTTTACGTCTCATCTGAAGGATGGCGCCTTTTTACAGTATAGTGTCCCCGTCACTATACTGGGACATTAGGATCCACATGGAAAGCAGGGTGAGCACCGCCTACTGGCCTCACTAACACCACTTCCAGCAGCAATCTTAGTTTTTCCCAGGAGATCTCCCATCCAGGTCCTGACCAGGCTCACATCTGCTGACCTTCAGTGGGTTGGCAGTTGTGATTTGCAGGGCGATATACAGTAGCATAAACACAGACTGAAAACCTATGGTATTTAATAAAACAAATACTCCTAAAAACCACGACAGACAATGTTATTATATAATCTTAAATCCTTCAGAATGACACACATCTCATCTAGAGTAAGTGGAATTTTAATTCATTGCACTTTGTGGCTTACCATCACATGTTCGACAACAGTCCTGCATGATAGGGTTGGCACACTGGACAGGCACGCAGTTTTTACGGTGACAGGCGACGGTCCCATTACTGCACATACAGATTCGGCACTTGTCCAAGGGATCGTAGAATCGTTGTGTGTGTTTATAGGGTTGACCAGCATACAGGCACTCAGCGGGAGGGACTGGGAGTGAGCAAAAACAATCCGCTCAATTCTTTACTCCAGAATACTAAATGCTACCCAATGTCTTTAGCTTTGCCTAACACGTTATGGTCATGGGCATTTGTTTATGTTTTAATAGCTTTGTAATTTTCACAGAAATGCATGCCGAGGTTAATTGAATGCAAACCATACAGAAAAGTAAATAATTCTTTCATCAGTTTAAGCATGGCTGAACCTCATTTTAGATGAACACACTCGTCATAGTGGCAGAAACAGCAGCAGATGCTTCATGCTGCTAATGAAGCCATAAGAAGGCATGGAGTGATAATTAATAAACTGGCAAATCTTGAACAACTTCCTCAATGAAACTGTTCTCACATTCCAGAAATAAGCTTAAATCAGCTGATTAGCAGACGCAATGCTTTAGTTTGCATATGTAGTAATCAGTTCTAAAATTACTATTTATCTAAGCATTTATAAAATTAAGATTTTAATGTGGTACTAGGTTATACAAAGTTCTGAGAAAAAGATGAGAGGGTTCAGAAATTATAAAGAGGAAGGATATTAAAAACTGCCAAAGAATACCAACCACTATTTCTCCTTTCTGTATTGGTAGTTTTACTGACTCAGGATTTAAAGATAAAAAAATCATTAGACTGTACAGAAAAACTAAGCACTGTACTTACTGATCAAAGGTAGAATAGCTGTATATTCATCATAATTGTTACAAATCTGACTCATTAAAGCCTTAACATTAATAGAAGAGATAAAAGTAACTAATTCCTGATTCCTAACTATGTTCCTGATTGAACTCATGTCCATCAAAATCATGAAGTTACATAGACTAATTGGAATTATGACTACAACACTGTTTTTAATTATGGTGAAGACTCCAGGCTAGTTAAGACTGAGTAATGAATAGCTTTGAGAAAGAAAGCATAAGAAGCATAAAAAAGCATAAGCATACAATGACAATGTGCTTTCCACAATGAAATTAATTTCAGATAAGATAATTCACCTGCACAGAGTGTGGACCTGTACATATCAAACAGGTTTTGGTGCACTTATTTTGAGTATGTTATGTACTGTAACATGCTTCAAACTTTAGGATATTCCTGTATCATATATACAGTAGTACGTGATGATCACAATCAAAACACCATTCACAAGAGTCATTTCCCACATGTTCCCTTTTTTCAAGACTAAGGAACTGAACATCTTTAGTCTTTGACGAGAGGGGTTATATGCAGGAGTGGGTCATTTTTACTGAAGTATTTAAAATCTCAGAAGATACTGTCAAAGGCACACCAAAGAAGCTCCTCAGGACCAATAGTCAGAATAAGACCCGAGGGAACAAGTACAAGTTAAGGAAGAGGGAGCACATTAAGAATTGAAACTATGAAGCATCTTATTTGCGGTAGAAAAAGGGTTTTAGGGGCATGGAACAAACTACCTTTCCATATTGTTGAAACAGATTCTCGGAATCCATCAAGAAATGGTTGGATGGGAACCTTAGGCAATGTATTACCAATGGGGAAATGAGCAACATGTGCTGTATGGTTTGCTCTCATTTACATCCATGTTTTGGTCCTTAAAGAGATATTTTTTCCCCGAGGTTAAATTACATTAAAAAAATTAAATCCTTTTAGTCCCAGATTATAGCTGATTTCCAAATGCTACAATCATGATGCCGATTTGTTTTTTTCCTCGACTGGAAAGCAGTTCTATAAATATCCTCTTTTACTCAAACCACACATTGTATCTTTTTTTAAAATAGAGAAATAATATTTAAAAATCTTTAGTATTAAGACAATTAGGGGAGACACACTTCAACCAATATTAAAGACACAGCTTCTCCGCCTGAGAATGACTATGCCACATGGCCCCAGGTCTTCATGTAAAATTTATGTAACAATATACTTCTTTATGGTGTGTTACTTTTTATTATACTGTATGTCACTCAGTGTAATCCCAAAAATGAATGAGATTCCCATGACTTATAAATGGCCAAAAAAAACTTGATAGACTATATCAAATAATTCAAGGGCAATATGTTTCTTAAGAACAATACACGATTCTCTTAAAACCTATTGGCCAGATCACCAGTGAGTATGAGAATTTGTTCTTAACCTAATTAACCATTTAAATAAAGAATTATTGAGGAAATAATGGAGTAAAATTCTCCTTAAGTAAAGTGACATATGTAGAAGCACAAAAAAATAGTACAACATTTTTATTTAGTGTTTCCTTAATCAGCTTTGCGATTGTTAAAAAAAATATTTTTTTAATAGCAGTTTCCTCACCTGGACATTGGGGGCAGCACTCTTCAGGTACATGGAATGGATTGACACAAAGCAGTGGAGGACACCTCTTAGACAGACACTGAACATTGCCATTCTACACAAAACACACAAAATGTTAAAGACCGAAAAATTCTGAAGACTACGCCAACAAAAATAAAAAAGTTAAACAGTCATAACTATTCTGTTAAGACTTCCAAACAAATGTTCCTTTAAATATCTGTAAATGTTTTTTTTCCCTTTACAGATTCAGTCTTTACAGATTTAATCTACATTTAGTTATCACATCCATGTCACGTGAAAAGTTATTTTTTCTTCATCCTGTACAACGTGAACAAAACCAACATAAATGGAGAAAGGAACAAATCTTTTCTTTGCCACATTATGGTTTTTGCATGGAAGCTGTTAGTGACAGTCTTGCCTTCACAGCAGGGATCAGAATACAAGTGCTAATGTTATGCTCAGAGCATGACAAAGTGTAAAAAAATGTGAAATGATGTGAAATTCTAAGCAAGTCTGAAGAATCCTACAATTAAGAAAATACAGAACAAGTTAAATTCTTTGCTTACACAATAATTCTACTGAGAAAGCACATACAAATCCCTTTATAACATGTTTAAAAAAAACACATTTACAAATGCGAAAGGTCTCTGTGGCTGCAAAAGGCCTTGTTCTAAATAATTATGTCTATATTTTGTATAATTATCTCCCATTACCTATATTTAAAACGATTCTCTTGTTTTTTCTTAACATTTCAGAAGTATTAATACTTGGCCATACTCACAATGCAATGACAGGTTCTGCACTGGTCAAAAGGATGAGGAAACTCCATTCCATTTGGATATTCTTTCCCAGCATAGTTGCAACCTGCAATATAATATAGATTGAACATATTTTTACTGCATCTTTTCCTGATACTTATTTTTTTCTTTAATACATGTGTTAAAATAGGAAGTGACATACTGTAAGTTTCTACAATTAAATGGGACTCATGAGATTCTGCTTGTGGGTGATAGGGTATTTTTAAGTTGGTTAGTCTAAGAAAGTGATTGGCCCTGTCACACTGTCTATATACAGCACCACTCCTTTAGCAAGAGCACTTTTCACAGGATTTTAACTATGGACATGGTCTTTTAAATGCATGTAAAACCCAGAAAAGCATCCTTTGATGTAACGCACTCCCAGAAAAGAAATCTAGAATATTTAGGAATGGTCTTCAACATGTGTATACAGTATGTTCACTAAAGGATATCATTTCAGATGCTCAGAACATATCAGATCATATCAGGTAATCAGGCCATACACACAGCATAAAATATCTTCTGTTTCAACTAAATAATAAATCTTGAATTTGAGAATGCAGACTGATCTGTTTATGATACTCATTTATTTTCAGGGAGGGTGCTTCAGTCTTCAGTGAGCTAAATAGGTTCAAGATTTTAACAATTGGGATGGAAATTTACTAAAAAGAAGAAAAGTCCAATGAAGGTTTCATTGGGAATTATTTTATGAATTTGAAGAAAATGCTACAAAAATAAAAATAAGTCATACATAAAAAGGTCCATGGGTCCGCACCCATACAGTATGTAATCATAATGTCATTTTCTAAATTATATTTTATAATAAAGATTTAAACTTTGGATAAGATCTGTAAATGGTAAGGAAGAGAGGTAAACATCTGTTGTGTGGACAAACTCTCTTCAGACCTTTGCCGAGCTGCATTTTGACTTCTCAGATCCCTGCTGTACATGAGAAAGAGGTGAAGGTGGATGGAAGGACTTGCATTTACCCTACCATTGCAGTTGCTCTGGCAGCAGGAGCCAGGCAGGGGGTAGGAACAGGAAGGCCTTGGGCAGTCTCTGTTCTCACAGCTCACTCGGCCCCCAGAGCACACGCATGTCTGACACTGGCTCACAGGGCTGGGGAACTCTTCCCCATCCACAAACACGCGGTTCTCAAACACACAATCTGGAGGTTAAAGCAAACAGAAATGGGAAAAGGTCACAAACAAGAGAAGACCAGTCCCTCACATTGTGCATTTGGAGGAACGGAGCCATTCAATCTCAGAACTGATCCATCTTTTACTTTATAGTTGTGTGACCATGTAAGAAACATAATGTATAATACTCTACTGTGCTGAACTATTTGCACTGGAATGTTACAATTTATTAAATAAATTTGCTGGGGGCGTGCGTGTTCAGTGTGGAGGCAGAGCCCTGGATTAAGGACAATGCCTTGACTTGGCAACCACAGCTGCCATGGCTAATTTTGGATAAGCTGGAGCTGTGGGGGCCCTTTAAGACACACTGAGCACCACCCCGGAGGGATGAGTAACCCCCACGAAGGGAGAATATTCCAGAGACAGTCCCTGAGGAGATTGTGACGCAAGCATTAAGGCCGCTTTTTTCCTTTATTTTCTTCTTCTTTTCTCCTGTCCTGCTGTGTATCCAGGGTAGGCTGAGTCTTTTCTCCTGTTCCTCCATGTATCCCCACCAGGACAGTTTGAGTTTTTCCTCTCCTGTTCTGCTGTGAGGATTCACCAGGGCAGGTTGAGTTTTCTTTTGTTTTTGGCCTCGCTCGTTTTTCTTCCAATCTGGACTATCCCTATTTAGCGGGGTCCACAGTGGTTTTTCACCAGACTGGACCCCAATAAACAGGGGCAGTCCAGTCTAGCTGCTGCTGTGGCGAGGGGTTGCTTTTCCCCCAGATTGGACGTCGTTAGTTCAGTCTGGACGCCACTGTGCAAGCAGTCTTTTCTGTCTTTTGTTTTTTTTTACTGACCTCACATTGGTGCCTCCACCCCTTCAGATGGGGTGTCGACTCTGACTGGTGTTCGCCATGGCTCCTCACTCTCAAGCATTGTTTAAATAATACTTAATCATTTTTGCTAACTTGAAGTTTCCAGTCAGATTCTGTGAGGGTTTCTGTGATAAACACTAATTACAATCAGCCCAGAACACCAACATTTCTATATATACTGATGGAAAAAAGAAACGCAACATTTTCTGGAATGAGAATACTATAGTTATAATTATGTACTTATGTACAAAAAGTTGTACAATTATTGTATTAATTATGTACAATTTGTTTTAAGCCCTCTGACCAGCAATACAGCTTGTGCAGTGGGGCATTGCAACTTGCCAATCACACAAAAGCTCATTAGGTGCACTTTTACCTAATAAGGTCCAGGTGGAACAATGCCTGATCAGGTCACCTTTAAAAAGGCCTTAATTCAAAGCTTAGGTCACTGCAAGAAAAAGGCCATACTTTTTATCTGTGCTTTCTATAATGCCTCAAATGTCACCAGAAGCAAAGGAGAGGGCCATTGGCATGTTGCAGGCTAGTATGTCATGTGCCAGCGTTGCCAGACACTATGGAGAGAGCCGCTCCACTGTGTCCAACTGCAGAGAAGATTTCAGCAGCCCAGCTTGACAGATGACCATCCAAAATCTGGTCGCCCTCGAGTGACCACACCAGAGCAGGACCGACACATCAGACTGGTCCATCTGCGAGATTGTTTCAGATCTGCCACCCGTACTGCTGCTGAAACTGCCGGCAGACACATCAGTATACTGTATATAGGAAACGGAAATGACACTATGAAGATCTGAAAAAAATGGCTGCTACTGAAGAATCAAGAAGATATGAAGCTCAAAATATATTTTGGGTGCAGCCTTTAGTTGAGAAACTGATGGTGGACATATTTTGAAGAGGGTGCTTTTAGAAGTGTTTGAGGAATTTTCCTCACTGAATTCCAAAAGGGACAATCTTCACTGGTAAACAGCTAAAGAAAGGTACTGGGAAAAGTGTCATCACATCATGCAGAAAAAAAAATCTACAGCATGCACTGTTGGCATTTTCCTTCCACTATGACAATAACCCACTACATCTTAGTGCTCCTGTGCAAGAATGTTGAAATTGTATTGCACTATGCTCAGAACTTATGACAGGTTTCTTATGTGTATTTTATACATATACAGTATACTGCTAGTAATAAAATACGAGACCATTTTTGCATGCAACATTTATTTCAAACTTAATCTGCTTTTCTGAAGCAGAATCCTATTTGTGTGGCTTTGTATCACACTGTGAATATCACAGTCAGGAACCACTATACTATTTCATTTACCATATTTGTTTTAATTAAATTACAGAAAATTAATATGGAAAACACATTTTAACTTAAAACATAAAAGATCAACTAGATATAAAATTCTTTCCATATTTTCACATGCAGTATCTTCCACCCATTCTCAGTTTCTGATCTTAATATGACCTTAATCCTAATTATAAATGATATACTGTATGCATCTATATATCAGAAGCATAACACTATGCCTGACCAATGTTACGCCCAGCAGATATTTTCAGAAACTAAGATTAAAATGTTCTCATTTCATTAACAGAACATATTTAAAACTTGATTTTGAGAGCTGTGTCTAATTCGCGGACTTAAGCTGGGATAAAGGTCAATGATTGGGAACAATGGTGATGCCGTCAGTAATCTGACATCAAATGAAGTGGAGAAATTGCCCTTTTAAAGAAAAAACCTTCATGTCTCACAATTCCCAGCCAGGAAGGGTTGGGAATCGGGAAATCAGTCTTCTGATGTCTTAGAACAAGAAGTTACCTTAATATTTAAAAAATAAAATTAACTGAATAAATGTTGCATTTGCAACAGTACCAAAATCAAATAAAATTAATTTGCACAGTGCAATCAAGGGAATAACAAAGAGTAAGCATTTCTTATCAATTCTATCATGCCCATTCTTATTTGGCTTTATATTATTTCCAGCATTTTTCCCCAATTAGTCTTCCGTTTAATATCCTCAGTGTCACTTTTTTCAGTTTTTTTTCTAAAAAGCTGCATTGTAGTGTGAAACAAATGGGTACTTTTGAACCAGGCCTTATAAAAAGAGGTGCATTTCTACAAAATAGATTTTAAAAATGGCTAAGGAAATTAAAGCTCTAAACTGTGAAAAAGAAAGGTGCAAATGATTCTGCACAGAATGCAGATCCAGATTAATTTTGTTCTCTTTCCACATTGCCACTATTCAGTATGTTCTTAATTTTGAAATACACAAATACATTTTATAAAAAATGTATGAAAATTACAAGGGTTTCACAAACTGTACATACGTCAGCAAGACCCCTGCCCTTCCATTCTTACAATGATATACTTTAGCATGTCTTTATGTTGTCGAAATTAGACAA